AAACAAACATTTTCAAACTTTCTATCAACATTAGAGTAGCTGATTGCAGGACTTCTAAACTGTAAAAACTCAAATGTTAATGAATGAATTTGACTGAATTCTGATTAAAATATCACATCATACTAAATCGAAGGTGCACTGGCCTAACAGGTCCAAATATAAACTTTACTTCAAGATACTTAAAACAGAATGTAGCGTCACATTTAGTTTCAAGAAGCATGTCAACAAAATGTTGTTGTGGCATTTTTGGCCATTTTTACTCATCACAGTAACTGAAGTCTTTATAATTGTCTTAGAAAAATAATCATTTCAGCAGCCAGATGTGACCTTAATCTGCAGAAACATCTATGAAGTTACAGCTGACAAAAGAAGTTAAAAAGCTGTTGGCTATTTCAAAATGATTATTTTGATAAGATATGTTTCAACATTTATTAGAGGAAATATTCAACTCTATCCACCTCACAGCCAGCATGAGTAAAAATAAGTACTCAGAGCTTCAGGTACTTTTCAGATAAAGTACCTTTTACTGCAGTAGAGTGACACACTAATAGTTAGAAATCTATTTCAATGTCACCAAAGATAAGTGTATTTGTACTACTATAACATATTTTAGTTGTTCAAGTTGTTCATTAAACAACTTTTTCTAAAGCATCAGAATTAAAGTTTGATCTTTAGTGCGTCAAACAAACATGTAAATATACTTTCCCCCCCTCAGTATTGCAGTCTCGAACAGTCAGGATTAAAAGGATTAAATGCTTAATTAACTGTATTAATCGCTTTTTATGAGCCTTCAGAGCTCATTAGGATCAGATTTAACCTCCAAACTGCAGAGAGCTGGAGCAGAGAGTGTTACAAAGTCAGAAGGAGCAGTCAAAGATGATTGGAGCATGCTGGACTCATTAAATCGTGCCAAGCTAAAGAAATCAGAAGGAAATGATCTGAACCACTTCCCCCTATGCTCCTGCTCTGTCTGCATGAACATGTTCTGTAAACACTCTCTGATGACATAACAGCGTTGCATTCACATGTTACATTCACACCACAGGCCTGCACACGGAAACCTTAAAAAAACTGCAGCGGCAGACCTCCAACCAGTCAGCGGGGCTCTGCTGCAGCTCAGGCCGCCTCACGGCTGCTCTCAGGCGGACACAACGGCAGCCCAGGCCGCGGCGAAGGGGGCGTGTTACCGGCTCTGCTTCTGCTGCTCCTCTCAACAAAGACACGGAGTTGCTCTACTCTGATGCCGACCCCGCCCCCCTCTTACGCTGCCAAGAGGTGTGTTGTTACCGTAAAGCCTAAGGCAATTGCGCAGGAGTTTTTAGGGGGAGTGTCGCTGTGCTGCGGCATGCTGCTCAATCAGAGCCGGAGAGAGCTGCTGCCTCTGCGGACACGGAGCAGAACCGCTCCCCCTCCTTCCCTCCCTCCTTCTGTCTCTCTCTGCTGACACGCTGTGGTGTTGTCAGTGATGTAATGCTGAATTAAGGGCCGATGAGTCAGGATTTCACTGCCTCTAACTACACAAACATTGCAGATGGCCCACATGATTACCGATTATTACAGCCACGAGGAGACTGCGCTGATTTCACTGAACTCGACAGGGGCTGATTTCATTCCAATTTACCTAAGAATCCAAAGCAGGTTATAATGGCCCCCCTTCACATGAGGGGGGCCAGAAAAAATTTTCCTAATACAATATTTTTAACAAGTAAGGAAAGTTAAGGACAAAAGAGACAAGATGGAGTGATGCCACACTTAGTTAACTTATCAACACTGGTCTTCTTATAGACGGGTTTCTTTGCAACGTCATCGCAGGTATGCGCGCGCAGCCTGCAATGCAATGACAGACAAAGTGATTTTTCAATGAAAGGATATTTCTTTGCAATTCTGTCAGGGAGAACTTGCAAACAATACGGCATCTTCATTGATATCAGTTCACCCCGAAGCAGGCTTTTGCCTCATGGTTGCTCGCACACCGAGTATTGTTTGTACAGAGGAAACCCATCTATATGTCAACGTTCATTTCTAAGGATAAAACATTTTTTATTTCCATCTCCAGCCTGGAAAAAAAAATAAAAAATTCTGAAAAATCTTGCAGAATAGAAGTTGTCTCTTGATGCTGATATTAGACTAGCTGTTCTTAGACATTAAGTCAAAAGTTTTTAGGTGTTCTCACTAAAAAGTGGCCTGGTACCACTATAGATTTTTATGTTTACAGTCTCTTTAGATTTTGAGCTAAAAAACAACATTTTGTCTTTACTCTCGGCCATATGAAAAAGTGTTAAATAAACTGGTGGGCAGAAACCACAGTGTTGGTGGACACAGATAAAATCAGGTGAGTCTATCTGACCAAAACAATCCTATTATAAAACACACATGTTCATGAAAATAAGATCTAAGGACAGCCTGGTTGAAATCAGATCAGTTTATTTATATAAGCCTCGCCATAGGTAAGGCTGCAGGTACATTAACAGCATCATATAATCTCTTATTTACAAACACAGACCAACAGCTTCAGTATCAGGTGCATGAATATGATCCTGTGAGAAGCCCTCTGATAAGATGGGCATGAGTGCTGAGCAGCTACATCCGTGATTTAGATGACAGATAAATGGTGAAAATCTACTTGAATTGATGGAGGACCTGATGCTCTTAAGTGTTTCCATGCAGTAGTGCATTTTCATCTCTAATTTACGTCATATTTTTGTCAAACAGCCAACGCTCACAGCTCTGCTGCCTTCCCTCCTCCATGTCTGCAGATTTTTCCTAAACTGTCTGACGCAGACCTCTGTCCCTCTCATCTCACTTAAACACACCTGTGATTATCGGTTCATCCACAGCTGACTTATCAGCTCTGGATGGGAGCTGTAGTTCTTAGGCGTATTATCTAGATGGAAACTACAAAGTGTAAGTGGACCAGGACAGGAAGTGGGTGGTATCTTGGTTTGGTGGACAGTAATTACTTTGCAGTATGTGATTAGTGTGTTGCAGGCTGTAATAATACATGTTGAAATGGTGGAGTACAGTACACAGACATGTGACACTGATCTTTAGCCCTAACCTGCGCACATACTGTAGGTTGCTTAGTTACAGAGTTATGGGTGTACTTAAATCTAATTTAGCTTCACCTTTGAATTAAAAATCCGCTGAAGGTAGAGAATTGGAGCTGCAACGGGTTTTTGTTCCTCTCTCAGACATTATGTAAGGGTATTTTATGAGGTGTTTTTAATGTTCAGAAAAACAGGAGGAGAGACTTTATCTCATTTACAATGCAAACCTGTGTGACTGCTGAAAGGCAGGGGTGGAAACTGACCATAGTACTCATTTGTCCATCATGTATACACTGGAAATGTTCTTTATAACTGCAGAGTTTATCCTAACACAGAATTATAGTAACAGGTGAAACATCAAGAGTGAAAGCGTAAAATTATAATGCACTACATTGGTCTACACCAAACTGTAACTGCACTTGTGATTCAAATCCTGCTTCTGTCAAACTCCCTCTTTGCTCATTTGAGTTTTAGCTTTTAATAGTTTGTGACACAAGATAAAGTTTCATAATAGAAAGTTCCCTCTGGTTGCTTCTTTTGTAAATAATATGTAAGCAAATTGCCTTCAGGTTGATCTTTTGGTTTAATGACAGTAAACAAAGGGCCTTCTTGTTGCTCTTTTTGTGTATTAAATGTAAACAAAGTACCCTCTGGTTGCCCTTGTAGTGTATTAAATGTTAAGCAAGTGCCCTGTATTTGCCTGTTTAGCATATTAAATGTAAACAAAGTACCATCTGGTCAAGCTTTTATTAAGTAAAATATAAACAAAGTACCTCCATGATGCTCTTTCAGGTAACAGCACAGCTTTTTTATGCCCCTGCCTTTCAGTTTCCAGCGTATGCTAGGGTGACCATTTTCTGACTTCCCAAAAAGGGGACACAACTACTGGGGGGTGGAGTCACACAAAGGTAATTTTGAGAGTTTTTCGGGTCGGATTGTGTGTCTTTCACGCGCCTCTAACTTAGCAAGTCCACGTGACACAAAATTGAAACTTATGTACATTACGTAGACATTTGAAGGAGTGTATAAACCTACCTAGACAAAGCCGGACAGCCCCCCCAAAAGAGGACATGTCTGGGTAAAGGAGGACGTATGATCACCCTAGCGTACGCCATCGCACATCAGACCTGGCAGCGATCTTTACACTATGGATTTGCAAATAAAAAAACAACTGAGTGGCATATTTATTCATCCATGTGCTGCGGTATAATTAAAAAAATCAAGCTAGGCTTCTTTCCAAACATGCAGTCAAACCTCACAATACTAAACAGAAGTGCACAAATGAATGGCCTGCCATATTGGTAATCTGCCAAACGGCAATCTATAAAGAACACTGCCTCAAGCAAGTTGAGGTAATGACATCAGTGTTTTCCAAAAACTCTGCATTCACTATGTCCACACAAACACAGACTGAACAGTTTGTAAATCCTCAACCTTTGAATGTGTTTTACAGAATCTCTTTTTTTAGCTGCCTAATGTGTGGGCACAAAAGGCCAAAACACAGACAAAGACCATGTTTTTAAAAATTTCCACCTACATGTGGAAAGGCTTTGGACTGTAACGAAAGCAACAGGCAGTCACCACAAACTTCAGCTCTGCTCAGCTCAGCTAGGGAGGTAAAACACCATGTGTCTGCAGAGAAGTGTAAGCACAGCAGCTCTTCTACCGTGACTTTTCATCTTGAATATTTTTGCTATAATTTATGCAGTGTGAGTGAAATGTGAGAACAGTTGAAAGTCTGAGGTGAGCTGTTCCAGTTAAGCAGGTTTTAGATCAGTACTTTGATGTAGAACAGTGTATTTTTCAGTACTTTACTAACACGGCGCTCCCTGCGTCCTGACTGATGTTATTTTCTCAAAACCAAAATGGCGTGGCTGACTGCAAGGGCGCGAGCGTGCACGGCGCGCGTGGGCCAAGACATGTGGGCGGGAAAATGCTGTTGCGCCTCTACTCGGGGCTTTCCGGCACCTCCGAGGGGGCTGAACACGCGCTGAGTATCCGTGGAGGAGAGAGCTGCAACCGGAGGAACCGAGCCGAACACCCGCCGGAGGAACGAAGACACCCGGGGACGACTTTAACCCAGCTTTCGGTCGGGGAACCAGGGCAGGGGGGAGGGTTGGGGGGCTCGAGTACAGAAGAATGAGAGAGCCCTCTTACCAGAGGGGGCGAAAACATGAACGGGGCCGTATACATTTCGTTTTTCCAGGGCCAGCTGGAGTCCGTGCTGGAGCAGGTCGTTCAGCTCGCCGTGCAGGAAATAAGCAAGACGGTGGGCTCTAGTCTGAACACGCTGCTGCTGGAGACGGCCGTGAAGGAGCAGGAAAACCACCGGCTTCGTCTCCAGCTGCAGTCCAGGGAGAGCCGGGGTCGAACCAACAGCAGCCCCGCGGACAGCGGAGGCTCCCCGGCCACTGGTAAGAGCAAAGCGGCGGGGGACGAGCGGGCAGACAGAACAAAGCCCGAGCAGAGGCAGCAGACGAGGCAGCAACACGCCCCCGGAGGGCAGGGCGCCGAGCCCGGCATACCCACCGACACACGCCGCCTGGAGCAGAGAGGACGAGTCGTGGGTGAGCAGCCGTTATACAACACACACTCACAGTCACTCACAAACACATTCACGGTGCAGAGCAGCGGTCGGCACTCCTCCCTCTGTCTCTGCCTCCGACAACACGCGGGATTGCGTAACTGAGCAGGCCGATTTCAGGCTTTCTGTCTAAACTGCAGAGAAAGCGAGGCCTGCAGGTGATAAATGAAGATTTATGAGCTCTCTAATATGTTTGACAGCACAAAGAAGTCTCAGTCTGAGGGAAACCTGCGACTCCAACAGGAGCAGGGCCCGGGGGGTCAGGACAACTTTTAATTGGGCTTTAATTGGAGCACAATGAAGCAGAGGCTTGGTGTAATGGTTATAATGGAGAACCAGCAGCCATGTGTGGGTGTCATGTCACATCACATGTGCTCACTGTAAAGCGTCATGTCAAAACAGGTTGAAGAGGAAAAGTGGCTCATTGAGTAGAGCAGACTGGAAACACCTCAGTGTGAAGGTAAAATAAAGCACACCTTTATTCCAGCAGACTGGATCACAGAGAAGATTTATGGTTTCTGTAGGAGCAGAGGGCGGAGGGGCTGTGGTGGTGGTAAGGGGCCACCAGGACAAAGAAGTAACACACTATAGAGACGGCCTTGTGGTGGATCGACCCCAGCGACGTTTAAATCAGCATTTCATTGGTGAGAAAAGGGCTGAGGCGGGAAATGAGAGGACAAAGATGTAGCTCAGGCAGTGACCATTCAGAATGGCAGATAGTGTCCTCTAGGATTTTTATGGGAGAGAATCAAAAATGAATGTGCTGTCAGATCAGCTCCGAAAGGCTGAAAACGCCCCCAGGAAGGCTTAGATTGTTGTTGCGCATCAGAGATTTAATGGAGGTTGAGGTAAAGCCTCAGGCCTGAGTTCGGTTTAAGTATTTTTCACACGTTTAGACTGGAGATGACACACTGAGAAAGTTTTAAAACTGATTATTTAATCTGAAAACAGTGGCAAAGATTTCAATGATATTTACTAAATCTTTTCTGTTTTATGGAGGGTTTGCTTTCTACTGCAGTTTTCTTAAAAGGTAAACTCGATCTTATCCTATAGGAGCTGTTTGTTTGTGAGTAAAGACATCGGTAACAGCTGTATGATTCATAAAGATTGTCAATGTGTGGCCATTTTCTTGTGACATGCAGGACTAAATCCAAATAATGGATCTTGTGTTATTGGTAGAGTATTGATGTCTCAGCCTGTCTGCTACCCAAACATGCTTAACATATCTACTGAAGAAAAAGAAATATTCCTCAGGTCTGTGGGTCAGCAAGGTCTGCAGAGTCCCCAACAGGCTGATTTAGTCTTAAGAAAGGTAGAACAGTAAACAGGAGGTCAACATAGTCTACAGCAGGACAGCAATGTCTAAAATTAGTCGGGGCAGGTGAGCAATATTTTCAGAAGGTTTGCAGTTGACTCTAACAGGTAAACAGGTCAAGTCTCAGCAGAGCAGCACAGTCCATGACAGGGTAAGCAGTATTACTAGTGTACTTTTGCAGTCTAAAGTAGGTCAACAATGTCCACAGGAGATCATCTGAGTCTGCACTAGATCAGCAATGCCAATAGTAGGTCAGTTAAGTCTGTGTTATAACGTAATCTACATCAATGTCTAGAGAAGGACAGCAATGTCTTCAAGTAGTCAGCAATCTCTTCAGCAGGTAAACAATATTTCAGTAGGTTTTTGGTCGAACTAAATGGGTAAATAAAGCAGGTCAGTGATGTCTACAGCGTACTGGCATAGTTATAAATTGGTCAACAATGTCTATAACAGGTCTGCAAAGTCAGTAATAGGAGAGCTAACAAAGACTGAAACTAGCCAGCATTGTAAAATGCAGGTCAACAAAGTCTTGTCAACGTCAGCAATGCCAACAGATCAGTAAAGTGTACAACAAGACAGCTATGTCTGCAGCAGGACAGCGAAATTTACTGCAGGTCATCTGAATCTACACTGGGCTGGCAATATCTGCAGTAGGTCAGTAGGGTTTATTTTATGATTTACAGTAGGACAGCCATGTTCGCAACAAGTTCACAGCATAATGTAGGTCAATAGAGTATACAGTAGGACCGCAGACTCAGTAGTTTACTAGTGTGGTTTACTGTTGGCCAACAATGTCTACTGTGTCAGAGCAACATTTCTGGCAGCTCAAAACATACAGCAGTTTGGCAAAAACAATCTTAGGAAAGAAGTGTTTACTGCAGGCTGCCATAGGCTGGAAAAAGTCATCTAAGTCAACAAAAGTTTGACAAAGTCCACAAAAACTTAGCAATGCCTTCTGTAGGTGAACAAGGTCTACAGCAGGCCACAGCAAACTGAAACAGGTCAGCAAAGTCTTTAGGGTTACAGTCTACAATAGGTTCGTAAAGCCTAAAGAGGGACAGCAAGGTCTACTAAAGACTATCGCAGACCGAAGCAGATGAGCACAGTCTACTTTGAGCCAGCAATGTCTTCTACAGAACAACAAAGTTTACATGAAGTCAGCAATGTCAATATTTAGACAGTAAATTTTATTTCAAGACAATGTAGTCTACAGCAGGACAGCAATGTCTACAAGGTTGGTTTTAGGGTAGATCAATGTTTAATATATTAGTAGTTTGTGAGACCAGCTGATAATTAGAAACAATATTTTACAGTAAAAACCAGAAACTTTTTGTTAAAAAGTAGGATTTGGAGAATAAAGTTCCAATGATTTTCACCTTTTATTTCGGCTGATACTGACATTAGTACCAGTATGTATATTTAGTGTAAAAGACCATCAAGTCCATCAGCTCCCAAATACTGAGCTAATTTAAAGCAAAGGTAACCTCATGACTTCAAGAGAAAGGGCTCTTCAGACTGCACTCTTTGATGTATTAACAACAAAATACAAGAGAAACTCAATCTAGCAACGATCAAAGTCTCCTTACACAAAGTAGAAAATTAATATACTAAAAAGAAACCTCTCACAGAACAGGGCTTGGACCAAGCTGTGCTTCAGAAATCAACATTTCAACACCTCTACCAAATAATCCTGTAGGAATTATAGAAATTATTACTAAAAGCTTGAAAGTGTTTACATGTACCGGATGTGGTCGAGGCATGGAGGGGACTCCGGGGATTATTTTCCAGTATTTATCTGCTCCTGCAGGAGACAATATAAACCATTAACCTCCTTCTGTTTTCTTTGCACTGCACCACCGCTCACTAAGTCATGAAGAGGAGGAGGTTATATGCTGCAAGGTCATTACACAAAACAATCACAGACCTATTCAGTAGACAAATCCAAGTCACTGTTATGAAGAAATGGTCAGAATACGCAGCATTTACCTCTGTCACAATAACACAAAGATGTACCATATTCAATGACGTATAAATAAAAACATGTTTGGGATAGTTGGAGGAGATTTCCTCAGCCTGCAGCTATCAAATAGATCCAGGCTGTCCTTTCTGCTGCCTGGGTGTGGTTTCATCACATAAAAGGTTTTAGTGTCTGACCAACTTCCATAATCTGTCCTTGATAAGATCATCCACCATTCTCCAAAATATTCTTCCTCACGCTTTTTCTGATTCCTGTTTGGCAGCTCCTTGAAAATTTGCAGAAATATGGATGAAATGATTTCAGGGTGTGGGCACAAGGCTGTCTGTATGCTGAGAGGACATAAAGCCTCACCTATCTGTTACAGACAGTGTTGCAATGTCATTTAGCAGACGCTTTTGTCCAAAGTGACTTACATATGAGAGAGACACAACACAACACAAGCGAGACTGAGATAAAAAAACAACATGAGTGAATGTCAAAATCTGGTGCAACTGGGCATGTTGCTGTCATGCAATAAATCAGGGAATGCACTTTTTTTTCTCTTCAAAGCAATGTATAACAAGCATCAACCAAGGAAACCATGACACCATGACACTGTCATCATCATCACCATCTATTGTTACAGCATCATCCTTGTTATCATCACTATCACCATTATTTTCATCAGGTGCACCAAGCGCAGAAACATTCACAAAGAGTGAATAGAAGGCAAAATGCCTGGAGGTATGTGACCACATTAAAGACAGGCTTTTCTATAAAAGAAGATGATTTCATAACCAGATATGTTGCAGTTTTTCTGCTGAACGACGTTAGACCCCACTCTCTTGATCTGGATCTATTTCATCACACAGATCAGGAGGTGCTGGTCCTCTGCAGCATCAGTCTGTGTGTGTTTTGTTTTTTTTGTTTTACACCTGTCCTGTGTTGGATCTTTCTTTACTAAAGATTGTAAACTAGGCGTGGGTTTCGCTTTGTACCTATGATGCTGTATCCCATTATATTGATAATGACAGGATACTCTGATTCTGTGATTACTGATAAACTGCAACTCTGATAATGACTGAGTTCGTGCTTTGTTTCTTTAAGTCTATTCTCAGCTTCAGATCATATCTCACTCCTCTTGATATCACACAGTGTCCAACCTTCTGACACCTGCAAAGTAACGCAAACAAGAGGAAGAGAGAGTAGAGATGGAGGGGAATGTTGCTTCATTTAATTTCTGTGGATGTTAAAAATGTTGTTTAATCTGCGCCACAAGCTGTGATGGTTCCTCTAATCAAACTGAAAGATCACCTGCTTTTCTGTTGATGAATTTCGCGTCACTACGATGTTTACCCACTGCAGGTGTAGAATTTAAAAGTAAACGCTCTGTGATTCTGTTAGATCAGCAGTCTGTGTGTGAGTTCACAATGTTGGTGAGCCATGAGGCAGGTGGGACAACACTGTATAATCCGTGTCACTTCATCAAGTGTTTGTCAGTTGACTATGGCAGTGTTGCAGCTTTTGTGCATGTTTACATTCTAAAGTTTTGTGACACATATTTGTATGGATGATTATCTTAAAAAAGTGCTGGAACGGAGTCCCGCCATCACTACGGCTTTGCACTCACACATTGAATTGCACGGCAATGTTGTTTCAGAGTAAGATCACACATCATGTTGTGGTGGGAACTCCACATACACTCACACACAATGTTGTTCTGACCTGCTGGCTCAGGTACTACACATTAAGGGTGGGCCAAGACATTGATTCTTAGATGCATCACAATATGACATGTGATGATCAAATTACGATTAACAAATGTTCAGAAATTGATCATTTGCCATGATAGTGCAGTTACAGAAACACCTGAGAGTTTGCCAGAACATAGAAAGCCGCCCAGACAGTTTTAAGGGACAGACTAACCCCAATTTCCACCACATCTGTAACTGAAGGCTGTATCCACTGGTTGCAGCTGATCGGAACCATTCAAGTTAACGTGTCAATTCTCGCGATTCCCTCTGTCTGTAATCTGCCACAAAATTTGCCTCATAAACGGATTTGGTAGGAATTGGCGGGCGGCGAAAATCGCTGCTGTTCCCGATCGGAGCCATTTCGGATGCGGTGGAAATTCGGGGTTAGACTGTTAGCCAACAAAGCTGCTGTTAACTCACTAACTACTACCACTGAACGTGAGGTTCACCCTTCAGGATTAAAATCCAGTGTGTGAAGGATTTAATTCTGTCTGTTCTTATTCTGTTCATCTGCCACTCATTCTGATTTAAAGCTGCTTTTGGTTGTGGATAGCAAAATGTTTGATTGTTGTGGGGTGCTATACTAGAAGCTGTAATTACTACTGAAGTTAAGTTATTGTTACCTTATGTTTGATTAGATTTAAGCTGTAAAAGCTAATAGTTATCACACTTTATGTAATAGGAACAGCTTGTAGTTGTAAAAAAAAGCATTGCATCATTTGGTCTAATAAAAATAAATTATCAAGGATTATCAAATCCTGAATGGGGAAAAAGATGTATCGATAATTGTGATAACTGTAATTATTGTTTAGTAATCGAATCGTTGCACCCTGAATCGTAATCGAATGGTGCCTAAAATGGCACACCCCTTCTACAGATCACCTCCTCCTCCCCTCCACTCCTCCTCTCTTACTCTCTTTGTGTTACACCTTGCAGATGAGGAGCAATTGGGTGTAAATATCCTGTCGTGATAGAAAAGACAGGATGTAAGTGGCTTCAGATCAGTTCTGGACAATGAGAGAGTAGTAACAGCATGACATGACTCAGGTCCTGTGACTAACATCCCACATTCTGCGATTTGACGACAGTGTGCACATACAACTGCGAATACCATATAGTTCAGCCCTGCTTATAGTAGACTGGACCCTTAAGTATTTATGAATGATAAAATATTAAAAAAACAAACCCTTCTCCAATCAGCGTTGACGTTGCTTCTGAAATGATAAACTTTTTGTTTCCATCATTGATATAAAAATAACTGTTGTCCGGGGGGCACTGATTTTGTTCGGTCAATCATTGTGAACTGAGAGCTGTTCAGTTCACATATGTGAATCAGACGCACATTTAAAGGTAGAGAATCCAAAGTGTGTGCCTTTCCTTTGTTGAATGTCTTCTATCAATTATTAAAAAGGTCGATGCAGCTCCTTTAATCAGCAGCATGTGAAAATCATATCAGACTATAGCAGATCCAGACGAGCCAGATGCATCACAGCAGGATGGTCTTCATCCATCAGAGAGCGTGTCACAGTATCCAGCTGCTGCAGTGTGTGTCGATGCATGTCTGTGTGTGTTTGTGTTTGTTTGGGTGTGTTTTTCGCTGCATGGCTGCTGCAGCACAAACAGACTCTTTTCCACATGCAAAGACACGTGAGGAAGAAGGACGCCTCTCATGCATGCATGCACACATTTGTGCACTCGAACGCAAACGCACTGCTGACACGCAAACCTTCCTCACCCGCCTCACCCCCGCCCCCTCCTCATCTCCCATAAAACCAGGCCACTGCCATCATGGCACGCCACGATCAAGACCGCAGAGGAGCTCAGGACAGATTGTGACATCACGGGGGGAGATGACGAATCACACCCTGACCCCGAGCGGGATTTATTTCCAACAAGCAAACAAAAGAACATCAGCTTGTGGTGTGGGATAAACACAAACACACGTCCACAGAGGACAAGTTTACGAGTGTAGCACCTTCTAGCAGCAGTTACATAACATTGAAAGGCACCAAGACAGAAAGGAAATATAAAAGAGGAATGAGAGATTTAAAGAGTGAAGCAGAGTAAAAAATTAAAAACAAAGAACAATGAGACAAATCACAGGCTAGTCAAAGAAGAAGAGAAAGTGAGCAGAAGAGTCTCCAATCTTGATTTAAAGCAGCAGACCTCAAGTTTTCATGTGGTTTCAGCAAGAACCTGAATTCATCTTCCTCAGGTTCAGTCTGACCCCTGATCAGCTGAGAAAACTAGTCGCTTTGTTCATGCTGCAGATCTGAAACAAAACAGATACCAACCAGAGGATTGTACTTTCTACCGTGAAATCTCCAAGGCCCGACCATCAGGTTGATGTGGTCTCTTATTAGTAGAAAACCTCTCCTGTGATGCCTCACCTTCAACTCAGATGTCATAGAGGCCCGATGGCAGGACCTGATCACCACACTGATGTGGGAGCGTCAGAGGTAGTAACAGAGGGGCTACAAGGTAAGACAGGATCACTGTGACCCATGGAGCAGGCAGGGCGGAACAGCTCTGTGTGTGTGTGTGTGTGTGTGTGTGTGAGAGAGAGAGAATGTTTGTATGTAAAACACTGAAAACCTCTTTAGGTTAGATAAACTGAAGTTGGCTTGGACAGAAGTCTTTTACTCTTAATATAGAGTAAAAATGATTTTGTCTTATTTTGTCTTTAATGTGGATGTTTAAAAGCAGTTAAAGTTCAGGAGTAAACTCCTTTCTGTGAAGTTTTTGGTCTTCAAAAACTGGCTTTTAATCTTTGGCTCTTCATTTTTTTTTTTTTACTTTACTAAGTTAGAGTAAATAATAGCACATTGAACAAAAACCTTTAAGCCCCACTCCAATCGTATATTTTTTTAATACTTCATAACTATTAATTGTTCTCAGTGGTCGTTAAATTGTGATCATGAAGTTTTTAGCCAAAATCACTAATCCAGCAGCTCATTAGCAATTCGCCTCTAATTCGTGGGCGGAGACAGCCCTGTTTTCCACCCTCCTCTCTCGCTAGCTTGTAGTCTAATGTTGTGAGTGTAGTAGAAGTGGCAGGTAACATAGGAGCTGTTCAGCTCTCGGACACTAATGTCTTTAAGAGCATGATGAAATTTAATATAATTTGCTTTCTTAAGAGCATTGCAATACGCTACCGCACATACTTGTTCCGCAGTTGTCCTCTCTAGTTCTCGGAGTCTTGCCTGCAGAGGGGAGTGCTGGGGGCGGAGCTTGGATTTGTGACGTAGAAAATCATTCTGTGTCTGCATCTGCTGTTTGGGTTTGTGAGAGGTTCACAGAGAAATACTGAATGCAGAAATACTCTGAAATGCAATTATGCTCTTAGTTTTCTCATTTTATGTCCTCTAGCATCAGAAAAATGCTATGTAAACATCTTATATTACAAGAAAACATGATTTTAATCGGAGTGGGTCTTCAAACAATCCAAGTTGTGACTTTGCCACCCTTGTCAGTCACCTGACAGATTTAGTCTGTAATCATGACATTGTCAGTATGCTGATCCAGAAAAATGAGAGAAGGTTTTATTTTGTATTTTGTGTTTGGTTAAACTAAGAATTGACTGGCATGTTTTTTTAGAGATAAAACTTTACTGAAACGTCCTAAACAAAAGTCATTCACAAAACTGGAGCATTAAACGACATGTCCTTGAACATGCTGTCACACAGTCATGTGACATCTAGCCAAAGCATCACACTTTTAAATAAATGAATTTTTTCAGCCATCTGTGAAATAAACAGCCGACACAGATTATTTACAAAATGCAGTTATCTACCCCGATTGACTCTTTGATGAAGTGTTCTGCTCAGTTCAGGTGATTTTTAACTTTTGGACCGAGCTGCTGGTCAGAGTACCTCTTTAGTTTCACTCCTCTGATATAAACTCAAACTGTAAAAAACAGCTTTAAGAAAACATGCCTTAACAATTATCATATGCATTAGTGTCACATTCATCTGTGCAAAATGAGTCTGAGGTGAGCAGGAAAAACCTCTCAGTCTGAGTCGAGGTCTTTGGTCACTATCTGTGGTTACCTCTCTGTCTGCAGATGGAGGGTCATCTGTGGGTCATGAAGGGGGGATCCTTCTGCAGACCTTTGAGCCTACACTCATAGTTGGTTGGGGGGTGTATGTGTTGTATGTTGTAGCAGCCCCATACATGGCTGGCTGTGTTGCCTATCAGCTCTCGGGACTCTGTCTTCTGGCGATAACGGGTCCTCCTGTTTCCCAGGGACGTGATTTATTCTTAGTCTTTTTACTGAGAGCGTTCCAGAGCAGACGGCTGCCTGCAGAGTTACAGGCCCCCTGAGTCTGAGAGGGCGTGATTGTGCTGGTCAGCTATTCACTGTCCATTCATTTGCATGTGTCTTTTATTGCTTCAGTTTGATACTGAGGTCTGCAGAGGAGACGCTGCTAACTAGCTACCTCAGCTAAAGTCCCATGTGCTGAAGGGTTGACACTGTTGCTAATCCTCTGTTCGCAGCATTAAAGAGTAATGAAAGAGTCGTGAAATATGATTGCAGGCCTCTCTGAGGTTTATGTAGCTGTCCAGGAGTGTCAGGGTTTAGTGTGATCAGGGTTGACAGGAGCAGCAGACCGTCCGCAGGGCTAACTCACTAACACACTGTGAGATAATTAGGCCGCAGCCTCAACACCCCCAGGTCAAAGGTCGCTGTTTGTGTGGGGTCTAACATGTGGAAAAGCGGGCCAAGCTTTCACTCCTCTTTGTCTGCTTTGGAGGGAAAACAAAAGATGAAGGTGGAAGAGGAGGAGGAGAAAAGAAACGCTTGAGTGCTTCTGTTAGTGTAAGTTATTAAATGAGCCCCCACAGAGATCTGAGACCAAACACGGACCCCCCCAACAAAAAAACCTGCAGGAGTCCATCAACTGAAATCCACCCTCAGACTAAACCTGATTATAGCTGACATGTTGGTTTAAGCCTAAAGGACAGAGTCATTCTAGTTTTTAAATTATCTGGAAAATGAGATTATTAAATAAAGATAAAACATTAAAACAAAGAGGAACGTGCACCCGGGCGGGGTATCATGTTTGTAATAAAGTACAAAAATCAAAAGTTTATCTGTCACCTGAGATTTAAAAGAAGAAATATGAAAATCTGGATGGTCTCATTTATGTCTGATTAATCAACCAAAAAGCTAAAAATGAGGATTGATTTTTTCTAACATATCTATCTGCTCTCCTTCTGCCTGCTGCTGCTTCTCTCCCTGCTCTCCTCTCTCCACCTGTGGCTGCCATGTGAGCTTCATTTACCAAATACGCAGCACAATAACCGTTCAATCCTAATTATCACATTTTTATGGTCCTGGGAGCCGTTGTCATAATTGAAATTGAAACCTTATTACTGCCCACCTCTCAGAAATGTTGCTTTTCCATAGTGGTTCAGTTCAGTTTGGTAGTGTTTCTACAATCAGCTGTACCCTGGGCTTTGAGCAGGGAGCATGCTGGCTGAATGACAGAATGGCCTGATTTTTGTTTCAGTGTGCGTGTCAACAGATTACACTGTTCCTACTGTCAGCGTGGGCAGAGTGTCTCACGCCAAAAATCTGGAGGGGAGGGGGTTTACAGATTTTTGTCGAATCTGTGCACCGATTTAAGTCAAACAAACAAACAAAAAAAAAGACAAATGATGAGGACGCGTAGGACTGAATAGACTCTATCAGCTATTTTTATGTCACTGGTAAGAAAAATAACTGTGCTATAATGTTTAGGAAAATTCATTCGGAAAAACGTCCTTTCTTTTTAACAGGGTGCTTTTATTTTGGAGTTGTGTCCAGGACATTATTTAATGAAGACGTACCATGCACTTTCCTGAATAAAGAAATAAGCTATAGAGACTCAAACTGTGTGTTTACCAGGCTGTAAACATGTTTGTTACTGCTGTCAAATTGTAATATGGGGCTCTATGGGGACAAACTCGCTAAAGGACAAAGGCTCTAGTGGACACTGGAAGAACTGCAGGTCTTTCTCTTAGACAGTTTCAGATGAAACCCGTGTCTGTGAACTCCTAGTGACCCCGCTGTGTTGCGTGCAGGCTTAGATTCATCCATCACTGAGGGGGAGGCAGGGGGAGGGTGGGCTGGGGGAGGGGTATTCAACAAAGTTAAAGAGAGAGCAGTTAGAGGAGAGGTCGCTTCATATAACCTATATATCATTAATGTGCACAGACATCCTCTGGCTCCTCCCACTCTCCATGTACTCATATAAGCATATGGACATACATGTGGACATGTGATAATATGAGCATATGGACATGTGGAGCAAGAGTCTGACCCTGAAACATCATACAACAGAGGGGTCAGCACAGCCCTCCCCTCCTGGAAACCAGAGCGTCTCAGATTCTGAACCTTGGAGGAAAACACAGTTTCTGCTTTTTATTTACAAGCTTACATCATTTACATTAAAAACTTATGTTAAACTTACTTTTTATTGCATTAAACCAATGTAAGTACAGTATTTACTACACCGATTACATTGAACTCTCCATTCCTGTTAGGTGAAATCTGCTAATCTCCACTTTTTGGCTGATGCTGTCAACATATGCCACGGAGATTTTAAGCCCTGCCCACCAAAATAAAAACCATCATAATGTTAACACAGGAGCTGCGCTACCCTCTACCAGCTTTATGTGTGTCTTTATCACTCTTAATATTCATCTATAGTCTAAAGATGCTACAAAGAACCAATAGAAGTTCAACAAATTACTACGTTTCTAATTAAACTTTCAGGGATACAACTTTAAAATAAAAGCATTATGTGTATGAGTCTCTTTTACATGCTGCAGGAGGAACAAATCAGCTGCAGAAGCATTTTTTGAGGTTTTTAGGACCTCATGATATTTAAGGATATAGTCCTGGTTTATTAATATCAGAATTCCCTTGTAGAAGTCCCTAAACAGTTCCTTAAAGCCTGTCAAACTGAGAGCCTCTTTGTTTCTCTAAAACGTCTCTCTGTCTTTATTTTCTGTCGGGAGTTTTTATTTATAATGAGTCAATAACATGTTGAATTATACGAACAGTAAGGTTTATTGTGTCGTGCTATGCCCTCAGTTCTGACTGACAGGAAACAGCGCCGTCAGCTGGTTTCCCTCCTCGGTGGGAAACTCCCCTCAGTGTGTCGCTTTCTATCAGATGTGTTCGTGGTCATGATTCTGGATGCTGTTGCTCAGAGCGGTCTCAATATCCTGCTTTTGTTTTTGTGTGTTTGTTTGTGTGAAACCTCAACTCGACCACCAGGTTGTTAGGCCTGAGTGCTGAGTCATGTTTAAACTGTGGAGCCATGTTAGACGCAGTGACCAGCAGCACTTTAGCAGTCATAATGCGATTAAAGTCATTTAAAAGATGTGATTTGATTTGCCGAAACTCATTATCATGCCTCTCTCTGTGCTGCATGGTTTGGAGGAATTTTACTACGTCTTCGTATTTTACACGGTCTTTGAGTTGTAAGACTTCGGTACAGCTTATCTCTTCATCAGCTGTTGCTCTTAAATGTTCCAAGAATAGAAATTTAAGACTTGTTTTAATGCAACACAATAACAATTCATTATCTTCACTAGTGGAGTCCCTCAGGGCTCATTTCTTGGGCCTTTTCTATTCAGCAGCCACAGTCCGTAACACTTCAAATAGAAAAACTTCTGCGGGTATAAAAAGGTGATGCATTAATGATGTGTAGGTGATGACAGTTTGGCTGTATGGAAAAGTTTTGATGTGTCAAAAAAACAAAAAAAAAAACAAGGAGGAGACACATAACCGGAAGTCTATATTTAATAAAAATACATTAATCATCTATGTTGAAGTCAAATGTTACTCATCTAGTTTGTCTGGTTTATATAGACTTTCACTGTGAGATGAACAAAAAAGTTCTTTTACTGGCGATACTTTTCATTCTTAAAAATAAAACAAAAAAAGTGTTGAAATATTAGTTTGATGTCAATATTGGTAAAAATCTAATGTTAGAGCTTGGGTCTTTTGAGGTAACTGATCAATTTAACATTTGTACTTTCTAACTGTTCTTTTACTGTTTTCATTCATGCCAGTTACACTATCTTTAGGAAGTAGTTGCTTATATTTCAAAATAAAAGCATAGTTTGACAAGGCAGAAATAATAATATCAAAGTTAAAGTATAATGAAAGATAATTTATAAGGTAACATCTTCTCCGGAGAAGTTTGAGTCTCAAATTAAATCATAAATTTGAACTTCATCCAAATATATGTCTATAGGTTTATTGTGTTTTATTTGTGAAAGTTATGAATGAATGTGTAATTCCATCATAGGATAAACTTTGCTTTCTTTAACTGATTGTTTAGTTTTTAATTTCTTAAATAGATACTGCAATAATATCTTCATCATCACACTTTGTGGCCCAGATGATTGTGAAAATCTGTGAAAGTGTGAAATCTGAAATCATGATGGCCTGACATGTAAACAATAAGTCATTTGGCCCCACTGAGCAGGATAAACTAAGACTCTGTGTGTGAAAATGTCATGATTTTACACCCCAGATCAAATGAGGCATTTAAACTTGAGTCACAGGCTGAAGTTCATGATGTTCCTGAAGCTAAAAAAGATGGAACCGAAAATAAGTTAAAAAATCTGCCTTGAGGTTCAAAACACTGTCTCACTTTAATGGATTTGTTCAGTTCCTAAATGAGTTTGTTCAGAAAGAAAGAACTGACTGACTGAGCTGTGACTGAAGGCTGATGGAGAGTTTTAACGAAAGTGATACAGATGTTTCCTGATGTTTCTTCTGTGAGCTGTTAATGTCTAAAGTTAGTCTGTCAGTGCTCTCTGCTCAGGGATTCATCTAAATAATCAGCTCATATATGGAGTAGTATCAGAGGAAAGACATGAATCACTGCAGATGGACTGAGCTCAGAATGATGAAGCTGAAGGTTCAAGCTCATCTCCTTATATCATCCAGTCACAGACTCAGCTCGCTGCTCTCTCAGTCAATCACAATGATGAATTGTACCTCTAAATTTGCTCTCTTTACGAGTGTTTGGGATGAATCAAGGTTTGGACCTGGAGCTGCTCACAATAACAGCAGCTAAAAACATCAAATGTCAAACGTTAAACTGATGACGTCCTGGTAGATGGTTGATTCTGAGCTGTTAAAAGGATTCAGGCGTAAAATTAAGTTAGGGTCAAACACACTGTAACACCGAGTTAGACACCCCGTCCAGAGATGAATGTTGCCGACCGCTTGCGACTCTAGTTCAACTGCACAATAGCAATACAAAGAGCCACACGCTCAACCAAAAAGCCGCTCTATAGCTACAAATACTGCTCAGAACAGCAACTTACTTCATCAACAGTACATATAGGGTCCCAGCCATAGTACTAGCCATCAAACATCTTTTTAACTTTGCCTAATTTCTTTAGCAAAGAGACTAAACAAAACTCGCCTACTCTCTTCCAGCAGCTGCTTGTTTGTACAGAGACCTCTGGGCGAGTCCATCGACTGCAGCGGGGTGACGCAGCTCAAGGAAGAACATAAATGATATTTTTTTTTTATCATTTCCTTGAAGTAATAATAATCATATTAATCATTTTGCACTTTTGCAGAAGCTGTAGTTCTTCTGCCTTAGCGTCTCGGTCTGATTGCATTTCCATGAAGAAATTATCATAAATGTTCTTCCTTGAGCTGCGTCACCCCGCTGCAGCCGATGGATTCACCCGGAGGTCTTTGTACAAACAAATAAATATCGGCTGCTGGAAGAGAGTAGGTGAGTTGTGTTTAGTCTCTTTGCTAAAGAAATTAGGTAAAGTTAGAAAGATGTTTGGTGGATAGTGCTGTGGCTCGGACCCTATATGTACTGTTGATGAAGTTCTGTTCTGAGCATTATTTGTGGCTATAGAGCGCTGTTTTGGTTGAGGTTTGTGTGTGTTTCCATGTACAACATTAAACTGATGACATCCTGGTAGATGGTTGATTCTGAGGTGTTAACATCAGGAAAAGTTTGAGTGATATATTTTTGTCATTGTCTAAACCTAGATTCTGATCGTCAGTAATTTGATCCTCGATTTAGCTCATTATCGTCTCCAGGATAAAAGACATGATCAACATAATGAACACTCCTGTTGAGCGGTTATTACTCCACTGTAGACACAAACACACACACATCATCAGCATCATGCTGTAGTTGCTATAAAAACACTTCTAACAGCCTGTCAAACTCACTTCACCTGTTTGTGAAGGTCAAAGTTCACCTTTACTGATATTACACAACTCAGGGTTACACAATGACACGCAGCTGTGATCCCTTCTCTCCTTACAGGTGACAGACACCCATTGAACACAGACACACACACAGATGAAATAACAAAGACAGCATGTAAACCGCAGAGGGTCTTCAGATGAAATTACTTTACAGTCACTGCTCAGAGTCTCTTCAGCTAATATGATGTCAGATTCATCAGTGAGAAGAGAGTCAAAAGCAAAAATTAACAGGAGCAGCTTTTCAAACAGGATAGCGTTAGATACCTAGACTCATTAGCAGGAGTGATTATCATGATGACGATGATGATCTGAAGCACCAGAGCTGCAATCTGTCTATTTAAACCAACACGCTGGTTTTTCTGATGTGCACAGATGATGTTCAAAGAGCTTTTCAGAGCTTTATGTGCTGCAGCAGATAAACTAAAGCGAAAATAAAATAGCTCCTCAGATAACTACGATGGACTCGAGCAGGTTACATTTCTGTGCCGTACTCAGAGATCTTGTGTATAAATTGATGTTTAGATGAACTTTTTCAGAAAATCATGATGGAGTTCACACACTCAGCTAAAAATCAGTGACACCTGGTATCTCTCTTTTTTGTGGAAACATTAGAACGAATGTCTCTTGGTGTTTCAATCACCATGATTGTGTGTCATATTATTTTTCTTTGTCTCTGTATTGTATTTATATTTTCTATTTCATACTCTTTTATTCCAAAGTGGACCTACAGGAGTCTTTAGGGACTGTCTAATCCTGGAGAAAACATCAAAGATTTAAAGTGATTTCACTTAAGCTTTAAAAACTTTATGACCTTCAGTCTTTTAGTATTTAAAGAGTAATAATGCCGGATTTTCGTCCTGGATAAATAAATATAACCTCAGTGAGTTTGTGTTTGTGACGCTGTGCTAAAGGTCTGAAACTCACCTGAGAGTGAGCTGACGCCTGACCTGGATCCTTCAATTACAGCTCACTCTGTGGATTATTTACATGTCTGCCAGACATGTGGTTACCATGACAACAGGCATGTTATGACTCAGCTGTAAGTCTCCATATTCCTGGTGGAGCTTTTTCAGGTGCATGCTGAGCTGCAGCTTGCTATGCTCCTCCTGCTGTCCAGAAATGAAACTGAAAAGATATGTTAGATGTTAAAAACTGCAGCAGGGGGGAATTTTTAGTTCAAGGTTTTGTTGTAGAAAGGTCTGATTATTTCTCTCATTTTACCTTGCAAATTTTTAGACTTTTGAAAAACCAGATTTAAGCATATAAAAGTTAGTAGCCTGCAGTTTGTCCCTTATGTATTGTAGAATTAATTCCTCAGTCCTTGAGAGAAGGTCCACAACCTTGAGGTTGATTGTCCACTAACTCAAAAAGCTCAGGAATCTCATCAATACCCATCAAAATGTCAATTTCAACAGTAAAACCAACTATGGCCACCGCCTTATACAGAAAAAGACAAAGTTGTGTAAAGTTGTGTTTTTCAACTTATTTTAGAGAAAGCATTAAGAACTAAAAATTTAAACTCAAAACAACCGGACTGAAAGTTTTGACATGAGGGTTGACAGGGACTTACTCACTGTGGGATACAGCCTCTCGTGGACACTGAAGGAACCATCGTTTTTGGACTTCAAGGGATATTCCGGCGTGAAATTAATTTAGGGTCAAACACACCATAACACCAAGTTAGACACCCCCTTGAGAGATGAATGTTGCCGACTGCTTGCTTCTCTAGTTATACCAACTTTAGTAACGACTGCACAATAGCAATACACAGCAATCTTAGGAGCCATAAACAAACTTCACCCAAAACAGCACTCTATAGCCACAAATAATGATCAGAACAGAACTTAACAACAGTACCTATATGGTCCCAGCCATAGCACTAGCTACCAAACATCTTTGTAACTTTACCTGATTTCTTGAGCAAAGAGACTAAATACAACCACCTACTCTCCTTCAGCAGCCGCTTGTTTGTAGCGAGACCTCAGGTTAGTTCATTACGACTGCTATGGGGTGACGCAGCTCAAGGAAGGAACTTTAAGAAAATGATAAAGTAAAGATCATAAATGTTCTTCCTTGAGCTGCCTCACCCCGCTGCAGTCTGTAATGGACTGGCCTGAGGTCTCGCTACAAACAAGTGGCTGCTGGAAGAGAGTGGGTGAGTTGTGTTTAGTCTCTTTGCTAAAGAAATTAGGCAAAGTTAAAAAGATGTTTGGTGGCTAGTGCTATGGCTGGGACCCTATATGTACTGTTGATGAAGTTAGGTGCTGTTCTGAGCATTATTTGTGGCTATAGAGTGGCGTTTTGGTTGAGGTTTGTTTATGGCTCCTCAGACTGCTGTGTATTGCTATCGTGCAGTTGTTATAAAGTTGGTATGAGTAGAGAAGCAAGCGATCTCACTCAGTGTTACAGTGTGTTCGACCCTAAATTAATTTTAAGCCAGAATATCCCTTTAAGAGTTTGCCTCCTCTTATACAGTGTAATGATACTGTTGTAGATGATGATGAAAATGGTCTTGTATCATGACTATGATCCCCCTCCCCTGTAGACCAGCTGAAGTCAGTCATGGAGCAGGTCCTGGACTTTGCTGTGCGGGAGCTGACAAAGATCGTGGAGGCGTCTTTTGACGACCTGCTGCTGGAGATCACAAAGATGGAGCGCGAGCATCAGGTGCTGGAGGAACGGCTCGATAAGGGAGGAGGAGGCAGCGGGGGTGAAAAGGGAAGAGGAGGAGGAGGAGGGGGGAGGAGGAGGGGCTCTGAGAACGACTCTGTGTCACCCAGTGACTCTGAAGACGCCCGGGAGGAGCTTGCCGAAGTCCTGTCATCCAAGAAGATGGCGAGGAGGGATGGTGAGTGAAACAGGATGTTTGTTTAGCTCCTCTCCCTGCTGTGACGTCACAGTGACGTCATCGTGTCTGGAATTTAATTCACCTTTATCTCTTCTCCTTGTTTTTCATCCAATATTTAATCTTTTTATTTTTGTTGTTGTTTTTTCCACTCTTTCACCTACTCTCTTATTCTCCCCAACACCACCTCTTTCACCTTTTTTCCTTGTCTCCTTCCTTGTCTCCTACCTGACCCCTATTTTTTCTCTCCACTCCTTCTTTTTACCTCCTTTTTCTCATCCCTTTCTTGTTTTCTGGTTCTGCCTGATGCTGTCTCCCCTTTCCCTACCTCCTGTCCTTTTTCCTGAAATCGTTACTCTCCATTCTACTTTCTCCATCCCTCCTTTTTTCCCCCCCTCTCTCCTTTCTTTCTCCCTTTCCCGCCTCAGACCAGGACCCTGCCCCTGTCCTCTCCTCCTCTCAGGACTGGGTTCCCATTCTGGACAAAGTCTTTGGTCAGAAGTGGTGCAGCGATGAAGGTGGGCGGAGTCTGAGTGAAGGTGGGGCAGGGCAGGTGCAGCCTGCCCCTGCCATGACTATGGAGCCCTCCCCCTCCTCTCCCCAGCAGGACCCGCGCTGGACGCCCCTGGAGGACATGGAGGTGTTCTCACCTGACGAGGAGGAAGGTCACGGGAACAGGGGGGGAAGAGGACCCTCACCTGGACCTCCCCTCAGCCCCACAGGTGAGACACAAAGACAGTCCAGTAAGAGGAGTCATGCAGAAATAAAACAATGAAACAACAAACAAATAAAACTCAGAAAGTCAAAAAATTCTTTATTTAAATGTGCAAGAATTTTCTACAAATAAGATAAACTTAAAATGTTTTTGATCTGGACTGTAAAGAGTTTAAAACACAAAAGTTGAAAATAAACATAAATCTGCCCTGTCGTCACTAACAGCTTCTGTTCTAGCTGCTGAGCTCTGTTCCTGTTAGACAGTCATGCACACACACACACACACACACATACACACCAACCACACCCCTAATGAGTGCTGCTGCTGCATAATGCACAGAGGGAAACTCCTAATGTATAAACTGAACACACTCCTATACTGTACCAGCTCCTTAAGCAAACACACACATGCTGTTTGCTCGGAGTGTGTCTGTGTTTATGTGTGTGTGTTACACTCCACACTGCCCTCTGCTGGACACTTCCTTTACATGTAAACACATCTGGATCTGCAGCAGCTCTGAATCAGTTATTGTGTGGTTTATTTACATTACTCTGAGGGTCAATGAACGCCTCGTGTCTCTCTGATCAGCACAGTATAAACTACAGTGTTATGCTGGTTGATAAGTTTTATTATTGATATTAATAAAGATGCTTCAGCTGTGCCATAAATAAAACAAAACTAAGGACCCAATTTCTTTCATTCACTGATACAGCTTAAAAAAAGGAAAGTCATGAAAAAGTTTTAAAAATTCTTTAGTATTTAATCAGAAAGATAAACTTAAATTTATTCTTAAATTTGTGACATATGAAGGGAAATACCTCAGACCTTTTCTTATGACTTATCACTCGTGAAAATATCCAGTATCTCACTTGATTAGAATATTTCTTTAAATCAGTCATAAAAACGATTATAAACAAAGTAATCTTCTGCAAAGTCTGCTCTGAAAAGTCTTCCCATACATTTCTGCATCAATGCATCATGGAGGCTCTCAGCCTGCAGCTCCACAGATCCTCTTTGGGCAAGTTGGCTGGACAATCAAACACAGTAATACCACAGTCAGCAAACCTGTTTCTGGTAGTTCTGGTGCTGTGGGCAGGTGCCAGGTCCTGCTGGGAAAGGAAATCTGCATCTCCATAAATCCTCTCAGCAGATGGAAGCATTAAGGGCTCTAAAATCTCCTGGTAGACTTTAGGCTATGCTGGTACTGGACTTGATAAAACACAGTAGGTCAACAACAGCAGATGACGTGATACCCAAAATCATCACAAACTGTGGAAGCTTCACGCTGGACTTCAAGCTCTTCAGATTCTGGGCCTCTCCAGACTTCCTCCAGACTCTTGGAGCCTTATTTTCCAATGAGTTTCTAAATGTACTTTGACCTAAAACAAGACTTTGGACTACTGAGCAATGGTCCAAGTCCTTTTCTTTTTGGTCCAGGTGAGACTTTTATCACGTTGTCTCTGGCTCAACTTGGCTGAACTCGACACTTGTAGTCCATTTCCACAAAAGTCAAACCTGACAGTAGATGTGCAGTATTTTATCGTCACTGTGCTTGATGATCTGTTGGTTTTCTGGTCGTCTCCAGGTCCTTCAGGTCGTCGCTCCTCGGCCTCCATGCTTCATCGTCTCCTCACTTTGCCATCTCAGCTGCTGGAGGACGAAGATGAAGACGCTGCCGCCGCCAAGGAAACACTGGCTGCTTTTGCTGCCAATGGGGAAGAACCGCCCATCCCTGTCTGCCCGTCACCCCCGGCAACCAGGGAGGAGGAAGAGGAGGAGGAGGAGGAAGAGGGAGAAGAGGAAGATAAAGGGAGAAAGGTGAGCGGAGGAATAACAGAACAGCCAGAATTAGTCTCTCAAAGGGTGATTCTGTCATTTTTTACATCCTGATTAAAAAGAAAGTCTAACATGTTTGATACAACTGAAAGAAACTGCAAATATTAAGATTTAGCTTCACCTCAGGACAGTTTCTCCTGCACTGATCACATCTGTCCTTCTTCCTCTTCCTGTGCAGAAGAAGAGGCGGAGGGTCTGGTCAGAATGCGAGGAGTGCGGTCGGAGGTTCAGCCGGATGTCTCTCCTCAAAGCTCATCGCCAGACTCACATCGCAGAGAATGCCGCCGCTGACACCTCGTCCCCATCGTCTCCGCCTAGTGGCTCCACTTCTGCCCTGCGCTGCTCAGAGTGCGGGAAGAGGTTCTCCTCAGCAACCCGGCTTCACAGCCACGTCCGGACCCAGCACCCCGGACACCGATCCTGAACACGAAGGGAGGAGGAAGTCTATGAGACTTCAGTGGGAAGATCATCTGAGTCTAGAACAAAACAAAACCAGGAAATTCAGACAGGAGGATCCACAGGCCAGAACCAGAAACCAGGAAACATATCCAGAAACATGAAACCAGTACCAGAGCCAGGAACCGCAAACCAGAAACCAGAGCCGGAACCAGAAGCCAAAAACAGAAAGCAAACACCGGAACAAGAAACATGAACGTGAAACCAGAAACCAGAAACCAAAACCGGAAACCAGATTCTACGAAAGGGAAATCTGACTGTCTCTGAGTCCAGCTTAGAGGCTTTTACTTGGAAGGAAAACAGGAAGTTTAATGTAAAAAAAACATCTTTTTGACAGGCAGAGATGCTTTTACTTTGAAATAGAAAACTGACACCACGCATTCTGCTGGGTTTACACACAGAGAGACTTTTATTTTGAAACACAACAAGAAGACGCATCAACTCTGCCGAAAACTGGACTCAGTCAGTTCAGATGCTGACAGATCTCTGTGAAGCTCTGATTTTTATTTTTATCAGAAACATTCAGGTTATTTTACCGTTAACATTCTGCAGAACCCGAGAGGCTCTGCTTAACATTTTACTCTCAACAAATCAGCCAAAGTCAGCTGAGATTTTCTGCAACAATCAGAAACCAGGAGCCGAGTGTATGAGGCGGGCTGAAACAGAGACAGCTGCGACTTAAACGGCTTTACATTGAGTACACTGAGTTGAACTGACAGACATCACAGCTGTGACGGTCTGATGCTGCACTTTCACCTGATCTGTCACCTGATCCCTGCAAAGACGTGAGTGTTGACAAGTAAAACCCGCTCTTACACCTTACTCCTCCTTTTTATAAGCCTGTAGTCTTCAGACTAGTATCGCGCTGAGGCTTAAGCAGACACCATGTTTCTGTCTGACACACATTTCTAAAAAATTCAATAATATAGCCTTAAATTTTAACTTAATCAGGGTTTACCTGATCATCAAACAGTCTAAGAAAACTGAGTATCAGTCGGATCACAGAAAACTCGTTTTGTCTGAGTGTCCTTACAGATATCACGTAGTTTAAAGGAACCCTGCAGGGTAAGATATGTGGTCAGATAAACGCCACTATATTTTCGATATATGCAAAAAAAAAAAAAAAGTAATTCCTGCTCTAATTTGCTCTGTGATGTCAGATTGTTGTTGCATTATGAATGTATAACATGAATCTGTTAAGAGCTGTGAGTCTTCCCGAAACGTTTCCTGATGTGTGGCATCTGTCAAGCTTTTTTCAGTAGGGTGAGTGCAGTGTTAGTGAGGACAATGACAAAGGAGTGAGGATCAAAAAGAGGACCGTAAGAGAGGAGGGAGGGGAGCGAAAAAGATTATATCTGTGTCGATACAGTTTGCAGTGGTTTCTGTGTTTTAGTATGAGGTCTACAAAGGTGATACTTTGTAGTTTTGTAGTTTGTTATCAAATTGAAAAGACAACAGACTAGAGTCTTTGTTTACAATGACATTAAAAAATCTGGGTGAGAAGTAGTTTTATTACTGCACATCTGCTTTTGTTATTGAAGCATGCGGAGTCATAGACCTGCATTATATCAGGATGTGCAAACAATAGAGATACATCAGATCCTGCTGTCTATGTTTAGGAAGAAACAGAGCATAAAAAACAGATAGAACCTCTCTGGTTATCTCATACTGATCCACCCTGATTGCCGCTTCATGCTGTACTCACATCATTGAAAAAAGCTCAGCACGTGTCGCTCACGCAGGCAGCAGCAACCATCCGATCTCACAGTAAAAAATAACGATACAGTTATCAAAATGAAGAAAATTTTCATCTGTTTTGTTCAAAACAAAACATGCTGACATTGTGCTTTAAAGGTAGAATTGAGCAACATTTATCCAAGCAGACCCAGTAAAAAATAAATATTTTAGTGTTCAATCAGCTGGGTATAAAAAAAGTCATCTTGTGTTTGTTAACTCAGAATGAGCCTTTGTTTCTGTGTTTATACAGTAGACCAGAAGGGACAAACTAGTAACATACATATTTTTGAAGAGGGAGTACAGAGTGGTTATTCTTGTGTGTAAAGAATTTGTTTTGATGGTAAAAAAACAAAACAAAAAAACAAAAAAACAAAAAAAAAGTAGGATCAGACTTTTCAGGCATCACAGAAGCTTTTTGTCCTCTGAGGCCGCCGTAGCTTCACTAAAAGGAGGGGTGAGCAAGGGAGCATTTCTGTCCACAATCTGACTACTAGACATTAGTACTAGATATTCATTTTCCTTTCCAAACCTGCTCAATCTGAAAAAAACACCAGGTGTAATGCAAACATGGTAATGGTAAACACCCATCTCATGCACTCAGCTCCTGAAACAATGATTGAAGCTAAAATATTAACAAATGCTAAAACTTGAATCTGGACCAGACGATGCTCAGACGTCACAGGAAAGTAAAATCCAAGAATCAACCGAAAATAGAAACTGAGGTGGTAAAACGAAGCGCTCGCCGAGGAGGCGTGGCTCTGAAGGGAAGAAGACACCTGACCTCCTGCTGTACATCCACCTCCCTTCTTCTTCTTCTTGTACTCCTGTAAAATACGTCACATCCTCCTCGTCCACAGGAAGCAACTCCAGCCACTGCAGGTGAGCATCGGCCGGGCAGGTGAGAAATGTTTGCAATAAGCTCGCCGCCGCCACCTCAGCAGTGGGACAGTCGGAGCACCACTTCCTGGTTGTTGATGGCTGTGTGGTGGTGTTGTGGTGGATTTGTACAGCGTGTACGTTGGCTCACACAGGACAAAAAGTGACCTTTGATTTTTCTACTGTTTGTTTTTAAAGTGCTCTTTTTTTCTGGACAGATTTTTGTTTTTTATTGACGCAGTTTTGGATTATCGTCAGGTGCATTTTCTCGTCATGTTTTAGATTTTCAGACGATGTTTTTAAGGATTTTCGTGTCACTTCTTGTTCAGACGGCAGGAAGAGAAACTGTCGATTGTTTGGACTCGTTGAATGTGAATCTCTGCAGTTTTTAACCTCTTTTCTTGTACAGTTTTTACTTTACGACAGAACTGACAATGAAAACGAGAGAAAAAGGCAGAAGGAGGAAGATCTGACTTCTCTGCCTCCTTCTGTCTCTCCTTACATCCTTCCTTCCTTCTATCCTTCACTCTCCTCTCGTTTTTCAGTCTAGTTCATGTTTTCACACAGAAATACCTCTGAAACAAAAAGCTGGAAATGACTATATGTTACATTTTTTTTAAACAAACATACAAACACACAGCGCTCCTCTGGCTTCAGCTAACCAAGTTATTATTATTAATATTATCATTATAATTATTATAATTATAAGTTATATTTATAGTTATACATTAGATCTGTACAGAGGCCCATGACTGCCAGGAGAAAAAAAAATATTCTGATTGAAATTTAATCAAATTGTAGTTCATTAAGAGAAATTAATACTTCTTCAACTTTGAAGATTTCAAGTTCCAGGCCAGTTTTCTGTAGATGTGGAATAATTTAATATAAATCTATGAGATTTGGATTTAATTGTAGACTAAGAAAAGTTTAGTTTTTTCTCCTTGTCTTGGTCGAAACTTTCCTCCATAAAAAAAATAAATAATTCAATATGAAGCCAATGTCAATACTTATCTGCAAAAACCTCACCTGTGATTTTTTTTCTTCACAGATGTAAAAGAAATGAATTATAAAAATTAGGTTGCATGATACATAAACAGAAAAAAACTGTCTTATTTTTGTTTGAATACGTATATATTTTAGCAGACAAAGAGCATTTTCTGCATCAATTCTGTGAATGATTTTCCTCTGGTTTGAATTTACATATCTTTCCATCTAGTTCATATCTGTATGGAAGCCTGTTACTGTCAGGGAAGAGAAAAAAGTGTAGATGTGGTTGAATCCTAAATTAGTTTGAGTTACTACAAAAGCAACCTATTTAAATTTAATGAAGAAATTAAATGCTAAGACAATTAATTTAATTATGAAAGTATTAACACCAGAAATTGGTGCTTTATCTACTCATGGGCTCATTTTTTTACTCATTTAACATTTGCAGTTAAATTCAAACAAACCTTTGATTTATTAAACGTGTCCATTTTTTCAATTAACTTTGTTGTCTTTAAGAATTAAAAATTAAGTTCTCAGAAAGTCTTTTCCTAAAAAAGAGGGGATTGTCTTATGTTCAGGTGAACACAGTAACTTGTGATACCTGCTCTGTACTTAGAAGATCAAATAGGCAAATCTGAAAGTACCTGTTTTTCAAAATTAATGATTAATGATTTTTTAGGTATGATGTAAAAATTTGTCCTGTCAAACCTTTTTTCTTTCTTTTAAAGATCTTGGTTAACGAATAATCAAACTGTCAGCTTCAAAAAGGAAAATTTACCATTTTTTGAGGCAGTTTGTTTTCTGTTTTAATAACATGCACAGAAAATGATCATGTTTTAATTTTTTTTATCAACAATTTACAGCAAACTTTTTATTCTTGTTTCCTGGCAGAAATTGTCTTTCATTAATGATTTCAGTGACTTTCTGAAATCTGAGCTGATGCCTTTAAACAGCTTTTATATTCTGTCCAGTTACTTTGAAAAATTTAGTTTATGAAAATATAAAATACAGAAAAACAAGCAAAAGAAAACTTTAATATGATGTCCTGATTCTTTTTAGTCAGCTTAAGACTGAACAGATTACAAACTTATGATCAAAAAAGACAATCCTCATCAAGAGTCAAAAATTTTCAACATTAAAACAAAATTGCTATTTATCCTAAAGGGGAGAAAACATGTTTTAATGTTAAAATAACTTTGTTTTGGAGTTACACAATTTAAATTTACAAATTATGGAATAATCAAAAGTTTACAGTCAATCAAACTTTCTCATGGCAGAAATGAGCTTCCATAAAAAAATGAAATAATGACAAATCTCTACAGAAATTTATCTAAAAGCACCAAATGACACATGATGAGAGTGTGAGAAGAAATTTTGTTACAGCTGTTAACACTGAAAATTACAGGGCTGCCTGTTGGTCCTTGAATGCCTTATGCTGCATTGAAATCTAGTGTGAGCCACATTAATTCTTGAATGTGGTTTGATGTTCATAAACTCTTGATTCTGTATTTATTCAACTCTTAAAGAGTTCAAAACAGAAAGTCCTCCTGCCTAAATATTGCGCAAAATTAAAAATGGGAAAGTGTTGGTTCAACAGCTTCTTCTCACACGTCCATTTCTGTCCAATTATGAACAATTTTCACACCAAAACTAAAAAATGGCACCTTCTCTTGCAAAAAATGGAAAACATATTTTTATACATCTTTTAGATTATATGACCTTGAGCTAAATTTGAAGAAATTTAAGGGATGCCAAAGATGGAGTTAAATTGACATCGACGCCAGTTTGCGTCTAAATCTTGTGAATTTTAAGGGATAAAAAAGAGGGAAGACCTCTCTAAATGTGATGAAAATAAGCCTCCTGAAACACAGCAGACTCTGTTGACAGTATTAAAGTTTTATTCTGATTATTCCTTCTCATCCATCTGTTTGCAATGTAACCCTGTGTACAACAGCAACATCTTCTTTGGAGGGAGGGCTGGGGAAGGATGAGATAAATATATAAATGTATATCATCGATGTATCCTGATGATTTTGACCTTCTGATGTTGTTTGTGCTCCGCTGTGCTTCAGCACTAACCATCCTTTTTAATCTGAGCTGTAAATAAGCCCCTTTTTCTAACCAGAAGGTGGATCTGTTTTTACCTGTTTGAACAAAGACCTGAAGCAATATAAAGCTGAAACTCTGTTGAGCAGCCTGCTTTGGTTACATGTAGAATAAAAACCTATCCACAGCTGCTGGCGAAAAATAAACCATAAAATAACAAAAAAACACTTAATAATGAAACATCCAGGTGGTTTAATTTCAGAGACCAGGTTTAGGGGAAAGGTTAACAGTTTAGGTTTTGAGTTTTTCCTCTGCTCGAAGAACTCCAGCTTATTTTCTTGCTTTTCTGAATGTCTGAATGACTTAAACCGCTTTTCTGCAAACCTCTCTCATTTTCCAGCTTGTTGCACTTTCAGTCTCCTCGTCTTCAAAAACCTCATTTTTCTCGTTACACATTTCAGATGTTGGATTGTTTTTTTTTTCAACACAGACCTCATTACCTCAGCAGGTGTACAGCAGTGATATTTGACTACCATAATGTATGACTTTTTATTTTATCTGTTTTAGTTTGGATGCGTCTCAGGGTTAGGATAGGCCTAAAGCCTCAGAGTAAAACTACAAACTGAAAGCGCACAACCCTCTCAGGTTTAGAGACATTTACAAGAAAATTCACCTCACAGAAGGCTTTAGATATGAATTATTTAAAGCCTTTTAATTCTACTTTTAAAGTTTTTAAGAGCACAGCAAGATCCTTGAAGTATGGATGCTCTTTGATGTCAATTTAAGCAAAAATGAGCCAAAGTTGGGAATTAAGAAAGACAAAAATGAAAGAAAAAAAAAAAACACATTTAAGGCAAAAGGTTGCAAACTAGATTAACTTTGGTCCTAACCTGCTTTTAAATAGTCTTCATTTTCTTCATTTTTTTGAAATAAAAAAGTTAAAATAATTTTGAGTTCTTTTAAATTAAGTTTTACATGGAAATAATGTGAAAAAATGTGGATCAGAGTTAACAGAGTGAGAAGAAGTTAGGATCACAAATCTGATATGTAGATAAACATGATTCAGTATGTCATTTTTTCCTAACATGAGTTTTTTAGTGTTTAGAAATATTACTTTGGCCTTTTTTTTTTTTTTTTGCTCATTGACATTTGTCATTAATGGACCTCCGTGATTTGTTCTATACTGTTATTAAGCTCTTATCACGTAAAAAAATGAACAGTGGTATTCTTATGCTGGAAAAAAATCTTTAAAACAGTAAAAATAAAAATTAGTAAGTTCAAATATGCAGAAAATCTTTAATTTAAATTAATTAAAACTGATTGTTTTGAAAGTTTCATGCCTCAATGTGTTTCTCCAGCTTGACTATCTGCAGCAGTAAGTTGTGAGATTTTTACAGGACAACAGCTCCTCACTGCACTGCGTTTTCATATAAATCCCTCAGAGAAAAAACCTTGTATCTCCACATACCATCTTTTAATACTACCTGAGATGACACCAACAGAAACAGGCGATAAATTTGAGAATATGTGGAGGTTACAAGGTTTTCTAGCCAACCCCAGCTCCTGCTGACCTCGTTTACAAAGCCATACAGGGGAGAAATGTGTCTGAGTGGAAGTACACTCGAAAGGGAAACAGTGAAATAGGATGATGAACCTTGAAGTTCTCGTCAGGGACTCCTCTGTGATGATTGTGGCGCCCTTTGTTGACAAGGTGGCAATTTTATTTTGTTGCTGATTTATTTTTGTCAATCAAACTGCAGCAAAAACAGACCTGATTTTTTTTCATCATTTTTCAATTAAAAGTATTCGAAATGATTTATCTGACCAGCAAAAGTCAGTCAGCAAAAGTCAGACATTACTAAAGCATGTAGAGGACAAGACAAAGACTGCTTTGTCCACAGGGGGCACCACCTGAAAGTTCCACACTGTAGTTTTAATTTTCAGAGATAAACTTAAAAATATAAAATGTGAACCCTGTCATTTCAAATTTGTAGTCACCTTAAGTCCTCACAAACTTGTTTTACAAATAATTATCTAAATATTTACAGTCTTTTGCTTTATATTATAATATATTTGTTTTAACACTTGGTCCATCTTTATGGAGGAAATGCTGAATAGTTTTAATTTTGTGTATATATTGAAATTATCAGAAAAAAAAAAATCTGTTTAAAATATTTTGTGGGTTCTGTTCCTGTGATCCAGAATTGTAAATCAGTCATTAGAGCAAAAGAATATTCCACCCGGTGCATTTCTCCCCACATCTTGTCTTGATGGAGGGCATGAATGAAACCGTTTTTTTTTTTTTAATGAAAACATATTTAAAGCACTGAGACGCATCCAGACACCTCAAATATGTACATATCTCAGAGCACATCTAGACTCTTGTGAGTTTATTTGGTTTTTCAGCAGTTTTCTGAAAAGCGGTTTTGTTGTTGAGTAGACAAAGTTTCAGTTCAGCCTCTTTGTTGAAGGGAACAAAGAGAAAGAAGGGAATATAAAGAGTTTGACCTGGTGCCCAAAGGGGGCGCCATCTTTGGAAACAACAGAAATATTAAAGGGTTAATCTGTACATAAGGCAGGAGTTCCTCAGAGAATGATCTGAGGTCCTCCAGTTTTCAACACAAACGAGGGAACGATGAGCTGAAAGGGATGTTTAAGCTTTTTTAAAAGTTAAAATGTTTTACTTTGTGTTGTTTTTATGGACAGGGAAACAAGACTTGTATTTTAACTTCTGTTTCGACTCCCTGTATAATCTCTGAACACTTGTGTTCTTGTTTGTCAAAGATAATTCATCTCAGTGCTTGGATTTGATGCAATACTTTTGATAAAATGTGCCCTTATTTTGTAAATCAGCAGCCTAATGAAACCAAATCTGACAGTTTCTTATTTAATCGTTAAATTCAAAGTTCTGGAGGTGAGTGATGTGGAAGGTGGGGACAGTTTCACCTTCAGCAGGGAAATTATTCAGATTAACTCAGAATTGATATGACCTTTGACCCTTCTGTGACCAATGTCAATTTGAGTGATTATTGCCGACTTTTTCCACCTGAAGGCAGTGAAATGTTCTCTGTTGTGATTGGCTGTTACTTTGTTTGTTGATCACAGCACTGTCTGAATGTCCAAACGCCAAGTTACAGCTGTCTGCCATGTTAATGATGATAATGATGAAGGCCATGGTGATGGTGTTTTTGTTTTTTAATTTTTATTACCTGTTTAAGTCCATGTGACTGGGTACTTTTTAGTGTTTAAACTCAAATAAAACCAATAAATGTTCACAACTACCAGCTGAGCCTGAGGACTCTTATTTCAACTGCAGTCATATGCAGTGTTGTGCATGAACAGGTAAAAGTGAATGTGTTAATTGAACATGCTCATATTTTCATGAACCAGGAACAAAACCGCTCAGTTCATTACTCATTAATGTGAACGTAGCTCAGTGAACGTATAATATAGGCCCATATATTATACAAATATACTTATATCGCCTTTGTATATTTTTATATTGTATATTTATTTTTTACTTTACTTTCTTTTATAGTTTGATTTTAAGACTTTTATTTGATTAACTTTTAACGTTTTATCACCTTTATTATATTTTATCATGGTTTTAACGTTTCAGTCGATATCCAGTGTTTCCTCATCTTTTTTAACTCAAGATAGCGTTTCCTCAGTCATCTGTAGCAAGTTGAAGTGCCCTGGTCTTTTGTGTGTGCATCTGTGTGTGCGAGTGTGTGAATGCTGTATGCGTTGAATGGGGTTTGGGAGGGTGGGTGGGGTTTGGTATTTGCATTTTTATTTATTTTATTTTATTGTTTTTTTTTTAATGTCCTGCTTGAATGGACAGAAAAGTGCTTTAAAAATAGTTTGAGATGTTTATATATATATATATATATATATATATACATATACATATATGTATATGTGTGTGTGTGTGTGTGTGTGTGTGTGTGTGTGTGTGTATCACGTATGTGTGCCATTTCTAACAAAAACAATAAACTCAGGGAAAGAAAGTGTTACGACCCAGGTGAAGTTGTATTAGTTGTATGCTATATGTGGATTTGTGATGTGCTATTTTGTGAAATTTGACTTTTTTATTTCCTTGATGTTTTCTCTTCATTAATTAAATTCTTCTTAAAATGTATCCCAGAAATGATAATTGTTTTCTCAACATTTGACTTGATTTAAGGGGTTGTCATTCAAATGTATTCTTTAAAATTTTGACTGTATTCATGACATTTAGACTTTATTTGTACAACTGTTTGCATTTTAGAACATATAATTTCACTTTTTTCTTCCTGAACAATACGACAGAATTATTTGCCTCGGTTTTCCTTGACATGCCTGAAACGCTTCTCTCGACCAGATGAGCGTTAGATTGATGAACATGTGTCTCATACAGGCTGAAGATGGACTGACAGAACGCACAGAAAGCAGCTTCATTTTCAACTCCAGGAGCTGGACCTCTGAGCCCAGATATCTGAACCAAGTGGAGGTGAAGGAGGTGAGGGAAGAAGGAAAAGGAGGGTGAGAGGTTAGGGAGGTGAGGAAGGAAGGAAAAGCAGGGACAGAAATTAGGGAGGTGAGGAAGTAAGGTAAAGGTAGGAAGGTAGATGGGGAGGGAGGAAAGAATCTAGGGTGGCCAGAAGGGAGGGAAAAGAGGAAGGTAAGAAGGAGGAAGGTATGAAGGAGGAAGAGGGGGAGAGGAAAGGATGAAGGGAGGAAGGAGGGAAAAAGGGAAGGTGAGTAGGAGGGAGGTTAGAAAGAGGGAGGTAAGGAGGAGGAGGGTAAGGAAGAACAGAGGAAGGTATAAAGGAGGAAGGGAAGGAGGAGGTATGAAGGAGGAAGAGTAGGAGAGGAAGGGGAGAAGGAAGGAAGAAGGCAGGAAGGAGGGAAGAGAGGAAGGTGAGAAGGAGGGAGGTTAGAAAGAGGGAGGAGAGGAAGGTAAGGAGGAGGAGGGAGCGGAATTAGTCAGTGGTAGAGGGGAGGAGAGGAGGAGGGGAGGAGAGGAGGCGAGGCGGCGGGTTGTTCTGCCGAGGTGGACGTGGCGGGTCCGGCTGAGGGAGCTACAAGTGACGGCCAGCGGAGCCGAACCATGACCCGGACCCCCCGCAGGTAACGTACCGCTGTCCCCGCCATGATCCCCGGCTGCTGTGGATTTTTCCCCCGTGCTCTGCTTGGTTTTCCTGCTCCGTGTGAGCCGCTCGGCTCTATCACAGACCCGGACCCGGAGAGTCGGTATCATATTTTCGCGGGCTCGGTGCAGGTTTGGACGCGTTTCTTTTCTTTAATGCGCCGCTAAACGCAGAAAGAGGCGCAGACAGCGGGGCCGCAGACCCACTCTGCCCCCACCCCCCCTCTCTGCTGTTCCTCTCCCCGCTGCTCTCTCACTTTCTCCCCCATGCTAACAGCAGCTAGCCCCGCTAGCTAGCTTAGCACTGCCAACGACGTTAGTGATAAACAAGATGGCCACTGGCTAGCTGTGCTAGCAGCTAAACATGGCATCCTGCCCTGTCTTTGTATGAGGGAGCCGTGGGTTTATAGTCTCTCTGTCCTCTGCCAGCTCCACTTAAACCCTCAGACTCATTAACACTCAACTAAATGTCCCTGCTCTTCACAGGGACTCTGAGTGTGTGAAAGTGGAGCTGACAGACAATCAGATTCCTGCACTCAGTCTGCGTGGCGGACTGAAAAGATACCTGAGTGTTTGAAGACACCGACAGGTAAACTTCACACTCACAGCGAGGAGCAGAGCCAGGCTGCAGCCCGGGAACATGCACACACCCGTCCCCATTCTCAGGGACGAACCGCTTAAGTTTAATTTTATTTACCAGTTGAAAGAGAGAGACATGACTGCAAACTTTTACTCTCTCTCTCTCTCTTTCTGTGTGTGTGTGTGTGTGGCCCCGTTAGCTGCAGAACTAACAGGTAACGGATGATGACAGTAACTAAACATACTTATTCACTGTGTTGTGTTTGAGCAGCTTTTTGTGTACATGTACTTTTTAAAGTAAATGTAAAATCATTACTTTTTATTTTGAGGTTTATCTTGGATTCTTGAGGTCATGATTTGATTGAAGATATATTCTCCCATTTCAGATTTCATTTCAGTCTGCAATGATTTATTGTGTTTCTTAAACGTGTTTTAATCAAAGACTGTTTATACTATGGACAACTTAGTTCCGCCTTCCGCCAGTGTACGGATTTAAAGCCGAAAAGCTCATCATCCCAGGCAAAAACTTTGACAAATGGAGGATCAGACTTAGAATGCAGCTTCTTGTCCTCAAAGGCCACTGTAGGCTCTGACCTTTACATATCCCCAGACATTCCCATTTCTTCACAGTAAACCTGCCCCCTTTTCTTTGGACTTCACAATTTTTGAAACTGACAGCAAAGTAGTTTTATCAGAACAGAATTTTGGTTTCTTCAAACATAGGCTGTATTATTTTTGGGTCCAAACAACCAAAGTTAAAACAAATTTCTCAATTTTTCTGCAGCAGACATCTTCCTCCTGCAGCAGGTAATCTGTAACATCAGCAGCATCATAGCCTTTAAGTGTGTCAGTGAAAGTATAGTTTGATTTTGTCCCTGACAGGCTCATGTAGTTATTCTCAGAGTCTGACTGCATTACAGGAATGATACCTGCAGAAAGGAAGCATTAAGTTATAAAAGAAGAGGATTTTATTGGACAGTATCACATTCTACAGACAACAGACTACATTTGAATAACAACAAGAGTTTTTCCTGAAAACACAGGTGTCACTGGTCTGCTGCTCCTTTTATCAGACAGTTTTGTATGTGATGTTGTTTTGTGTTGACTCCAACAAGCTGTTTAATTCACACCTGTCCCCCACGGTCTCTCTGCAGGTTGGTCAGGTGTGGTTGCTGACATCAGCAGGAAGTTTGTTGGATTCTCAGAAGAGACGCTCAGGGACACTGCCCCCCTACCTCTAAGCCCCTCCCCCCCTTGGAACGTACAGATTTCTTCAGAGGAGTAAGGAGAAAGGAGAAGGTGTTGACCCAGTGTAAGGTGAGGAGGGTCAGCTCCGCCCCCCCACCATGACAGACTTAGAGAGTGAGTGTTTAAGCCTCGGCCTGCCCCCTGAGTGCGGCTCCCCTCCCCCACCTCTGGACTCCTCCCTGCAGGTGGACTGCGGTGCAGGACCCGTCTCCTCGGCCCCGACGCCAACTCTGGCCCTCCTGTCTTCGGACTGCCCCACCCCAACGCTAAGCTCGCTGGCGGCAGAGATTGCCGAGCCGCTGGTGATGCTGCCGTGCGTGAAGAGTGAGCCCGAGGATGGAGACCTGGAGCCCATCAGGACAGTGGACCTGTCCGAGATCCAGCCGCTGTCCACCGCTGAGCTGGGCCAGGACCAGATCAAGATGGAGATCAGCGGCCTTGACTACATCAAATCGGAGCATCACGGTCACCATGGCAACCACCACCTGGACCACTTTCACCATGGTGATGTCGCAGAGCTGGACTACAAGTCGCACTACGAGCCCAGCTCAGTTTTCGACTACATCTCCCAGGTAAGCATCGACCTTTACACTTCAGCCTCTACAACCCTGACCCCACGAGAGTCTGGAAACCTTCAAAATATAAACTGAAAGTGTGATTTTAGGGGTTTGTAAATCACTAAGAACTGAAAAATGTTTATGTGAGATTCAGATTTTATATTTGATGTTTGTAAAATGTTGTTAGAGGAACTACCAAGCAGGTAAAAAGTTGTGAGAAAAACAGCTGGAGGAACATCTCTTGGCTATTAACAGGAGCGAGTATAAAAAGGATAGATCATAGAGGCTGAATCTCTATAGGGAGAAGTTCACTATTCTGTGAGAGAATGTGAGGTAATGGTCCAATAATTTCAGAATAATGTTCCTGAGAGTAAAATGTCAAAGAATTAATTTCATTTACGGTTCATAATATCATTAAAATATTCAGAGATCTCTGTACAAAGGAACAAAAAACAAAACCAATACTGGATGTTCCTGATCCTGAGGTCCTCAGGCAGCACTGCATTAAAACCAGACAGGACTCTGTAGTGGAAATCACTGCGTGGGATGAAAATCACTTTAAAAACCATTGTCAGTGAACACATTTCAACACTGCATCCACAAATGCAGGTCTGTGTGGATATAAAAATAACCAATAAACACCAGAGAAACAATGCCCCCCTTATTTTTCATGTGTCTGAGCATACACACAAACTCCCCGATAACTCCTGAGAGCAACGTCAGACTAAGATCAAAACCTGAGATCATAAGGAGTCACAGGGCTTATTAAAAGAATCAAATTACAACAGTAATAGGTTTAAGTGATTCGGCTCACCTTGAATAAAAAAGACAAAGATCTTGTTTTTCATAAACTGTGTACTTGTCTGTCCGGGTGAGGGGTCCTGCTCTGGTCTGGGTGAGGGGTCCTGCTCTGGAAAAGTTAAGACATGTACACCTTTCATCAATCTGATTTTGTTCGCATTAAAACAGTCACATTTTGCACAATGAGATGTGTGCTGTAACACGTGTGATACAGTGAAAATTTCTGTAACTCTTCGTCTGTAAAAAAATATATAATTACAGATTTTTTATTCGCATTTCTGCCACTCATGATCTAGTAACAGCGTGTAATGATTAATATCCCCAAAATATTAATAAAGGACTCTAGAATCAGCACAAATCTGATCAAGGACTAACATTTCACCTCATTTTTCCTGTCTGTCCTTCTCACTTCTTCAGTGGTTGTAGACTTTGTCCTGGTTGCTGGCTCTGTCTGCTTCTTGCTTTGACTTTCAAAGCTCAGTATTTGTATTCTATTTTGTTGATATTTATTATATTCTTGTTGTCTTTATTTTGGTCTATTGATGCTCACTTCAGATAATGTGAAAAAAGCCTTAAAAATTCTGAAACTCTGTCACCTTTTAATTTCTTTTTTTTTTTTAAGTTTAACCCTCATTCTCTTTTGGAGTTTCTCTTCATGTCTCCTGAAACAGTCCTGGTAGGTGTGCTGTCATAAACAGAGCTGCTGATCTGTATGTAGTGTGATTATTCAGTGAATCTGACCTTCTGTGTGAATGTGTCTGATATCTGGTGAATATAACCCGTATTGATGGACTTACCTAAATTAAATCAGGTCTGATTTCTTCAGCTTCAAACTGATCCTGGTAGAAGATCTGATCCTGCCGAGGATCATTCTTAAGATCTTAAGATCATTAACTGACTCAGTAAATCCTTTTAAACAGAGAGCAGCTTACAGCTTAGTTAGCTAACCTCGTACAAACCAAACAGAGAGTGATGATGGACTCTGACAGAGCAGGAGAACCAGGTGAACTCTGAGGCTTCTCTGTGGACTTTGATCACATCATGGTTCAGTTTCTGAACAGTTCAAATGTTTGAGCAGGACAGCGTACATCTTCTACTTCCTGTTTCTGAATCTCCCGACGGTGCAGAGGCTGACTGTTTTCTTTGTGTTTCAGGTGACGGACACATTGGAGTACATCAAGTCAGACCACCATGTGGACCTGCAATGTTACTACACAACTGAGCTCGGCTCCCTAAAGTGCGAGTACCCAGAGTCCAACGCCATGTCGGGCCATCACAACGGCCTGGAGTCTATCCACATGGCAGAGCTCCGCACAGAGCTCAACAAACTGCGGCCTGACGGGCTACTGCTGGACGGCTTGGGGAAAATGGAGCCTGAGTTTGGAGGGGGGGCACTGTATGAGCTGCAGCCAGCCCAGGAAGGGAAGACCACAGCCGATGGAATGGCAGCGAGTGGGCAGACAGGAAGTCCAGTCCCTAGGACCAAAACCCAGAACCCTACAGTGAGAAAACCCCGGAACATGCAGGGTGAGAAGCCGTTCTCCTGCACGCAGTGTGGCAAGAACTTCAGCACACTGGGAAACCTCAAGACGCACCAACGCATCCACACCGGCGAGCGGCCCTACACCTGCTCCCAGTGCGGTAAGAGCTTCGGCCAGGCCGGCAACCTCAAACGCCACCAGCTGATTCACACGGGCCAGAAGCCATACGTGTGCGCCCACTGCCCCAAAGGCTTTACCAAGGCTGACGACCTGCGCTCGCACCAGCGGCTGCACACCGGCGAGCGGCCTTTCATCTGCCTCACCTGCGGGAAAAGTTTCGGCCAATCCAAGGAGCTGAAGGCTCACCAGCTGAGCCACACCGGCGAGCGGCCGTTCTGCTGCCAGCACTGCGGGAAGAGCTTCACCAAGGAGACCAGCTACAGGAACCACGTGCAGATCCACACGGGCGAGAAGCCCTTCACCTGCTCGCAGTGCGGAAAGACATTCAGCAACTCGGGTGTCCTAAAGACACACGAGAAGATCCACTCCGGCGAGCGGCCGTTCGGCTGCACGCAGTGCGGGAAGAGCTTTGGCCGCCTAGGACACCTGAAGGCTCACCAGCAGATCCACACAGGCGAGCGGCCATACGCTTGCCCTCAGTGCGGGAAGACTTTCAGCCAATCAGGTCACCTCAAAGCTCACGAGCAGATCCACAAGCGAGAGCGTGTGGACATGGCGAGCAGCAGCAGCAGCAGCAGCAGCAGTGTTGGCAGCGACAGCAGCTAAAAGCGACTTTAACACCCTTTAACCTCGCGCAAAAAAACAGACACACAAAGTATTATTATCCTCTTTTTTATGAAAACATATATAAACTTTTCCTTATCAGCTTTTTACATTTTCATACTGTGTGCTCTTTTTACCGGGAAGGACCCAGGACGACTCATTTGCTCTTATGCAAGTGTCCCTGTGTGTGTCTATGTGTGTGTATCTGTGTGTATGTGTGTGTGTGTTTATACTCAGTTATCTGGTCTGAGTGTAGAGTCCACGTCCCAGGACTAAACTTTGGAGTACTTACTGATACACAAGCACAAATACTGCAGTACCCTGTCTGAGTACTTCATGTTTTTTACTGAATCAGACCAGCAGCTTCAGACTGACCAGGACCAGGTTCACTGAGAGCAGGACCCTGTTTACTGAGAAACCAGGACCCTGTTCACAGGGAAACCAAGACCCTGTTTATTGAGAAACCAAGACCCTGTTCACTGAGGGTGTCACAGAGCAGAACCTCACTCAAAGAGTACTTTACTAAGAGTACTTGTACCTGTCTGAGGTAACGGAGATACTTCAGAGTGAGGCTGTGTGTGTTGAAGAATCATGTTTCTGTCTCACAGTATGAACACACCTGCGCTGTTACCTGCTGTCATCAGTCAGTTTCTGGCTCGTCTCAAGTTCAGGCGTGTTTTTTTACCTCAATCAAGTCCAGAACACGATAAACACAAACAGATCTGAAGAATATTCCGTCTTTTTAACTTCTTGGCTTCATGTAACTCAGTTTGCTTCCAGTCCGTTACAGGGCGCTGGCAGTAGAAACTGATAGAGATTCAGGCTACCTTCACATGTAAACAGATATTTTCAAAAACAGATGCTTTTCTCTCTGTTTTCAAAAAGAAAAGAAAAATGGAGATGCAACAACAGTTGAAAAACGTACATACACGTGCAAGTCAAATAGGCGATAATATGTCACCAGTCCGTCAGGTCAAGTGCTATTAAAGAACACTGTGAGAGTGCATGTAGAGCACCAGTGATTAAAAACAGTGTTTGTTAAGCTGTTGATAAAGTAGTGAATTAGAAACTACTAAGTGTGATCTACACTGCTCCAAAAAGGGACCACGAAATCAAACATCCCAGGACTCAGTAAATGAAATATCCCTGTTGAAACTCTTTATTGATACTAAGTGTGATTAGTCGAGAACATCGTAATGTAACAATGCAGACTGGATTCAGAACCACACTTAAAATCAAAATGGGAAAATGAGATCACAGGCTGATCCAGCTTCTATGAGTCTCCTCAAGACGACTCATAATGTGGCTCAGTAGTGTGTATGGCCTCCACATGCCTGTGTGTGCGCTCTCTACCACATCTGGTTAGGCTCTAGATGAGACGACCAGTTGCCTCAGGGCATTAGTCAGCTCCTCGACAGTCTCTGGTGTGCAGTGGATGTAATGATACACAATGTCCTGGAGGTGCCAGATTGGATTCAAGTCTGGGGAACGGACGGGCCAGCCAATAGCATCAATGCCTCCATCATCCAGGAAGTGCTGACACACTCCAGCCACATGAGGCTAAGCATTGTCATGCACAAGAAGGACCCTTGGGCTTGCTGCATCAGCATATGGTCTGACTGGGTCTGAGAAACCTCATAGAAGCAGGGTACCTATGGCTTGTACATGAGGGTCCCCCCCCAAAGGATATGCCTCCCCAGACCATCACCTGTACAACCCCTCCTAAGTAGAGGTGATCTTGCTAAATGCCTCTTCTATCCACCTGCTGTCTCTCCTATTTGCAGAATAGCAGGGAAACAGAGTCATAACCATTATTCCGACTGTCTGGGAGTTAAACTGATAAATGTGTTCCCTCGTTTTTAGTTGAGCACGCCTGTTCGGCAGTCTTAACACGGGAGAACAGAGGTTTCCCTGACAGCACTGTGCTGATGTTAACCGACCAATATCTCCCCATCTTGGCCCCGTGTGCATTTGATAGCATTGACTTCAACTGCTGTCAATTTGCTGTCCACTTAACAATGACTAACTGAGCGAGTCATAGTTCAAGAAGCAGAGAGTTGATGATTTAGACAAATTATGTTCCTCAAGCGTTTGTAAAAATCATGGTGATGGACTTAATGCCAAGTTAAGGTGCTATGATGTAGAACATAGTGGTTTGTTTGGTTTAATGGCTTGTTACCTCAAAGTACAGAGCAGAAGTAACCTGTAGCTGAGGGGAACAGACCTGGGGCCCGCCATCATGGCGTATGAACAATCACATCCACAACAATCACCATGTAAAAGCCGAGGTTATCAAGTCAGTGTTTCCCCAAACCTCAGTTTTTTATTTTCAATGACTTGAAACTTAAAGTAAATTTTAGACCAAAAAACAGACGGAGAAATGTTTTTTTTTTGTAAAACATCTACATGCATGTGTAAATGGATGTTAGAGTTAGAGTATCAGCTGATTCTTATTTTATCTGTCACAGAGCGAGGGTCTGTGGGAGCAGTGTGGTTTGATTTCTATCATGGTTTAGTCAATCTGAGGTCATAGGGACTTCATGGAAAACAGAGACGTGTTACATGGAACTTGTCTTGGGTTAAATCCAGTCGGTTCCATGTTTGTGAAAGTGAAAATAAGTTCAGTGTTTTTAAAACCAAATCAGGTTTCTAATCAGTCTGAGATGATGTTCAGTTCCAGGACTACATTCATCTGATCCACTAAGAGTTCAGAGAGCTTTAACTTACAGCAACGTTTTGCGGTAACACTGGTTTATAAGCTACACACACTGAGCAGACAGTGGAGGAAGTTTAGACAACTCAAAGGTTTAGTTACTTTAAAAGCTGAGACGGATTCAGGCGTGCAGGTGATGGTCTTAAAATTTCAGAATGCCAATAACAATTTAACCTCAAACATGAATGTGAGCGCTTAATTTACGTCTAATTGTAGTCATTTCTTTGAAGAGTGTTTTTGCAGCCTGATACTCTACATGATGTCTAAATTTGAAGATCTTTTTGTACTCTGCTCTTTTTATAGAATGAACTTCACATCTGCTGCAGGTGTTTCTGGTGAACAGGGTCCTGGTTTCCTCTCTTTTCTTTTTGAAGTACTGAAAGTACTTCTTAATCTCTGCCAAGCATATGTGGGTACTTATTTTGGAGTACCTGCTGCCAGTTTACAATATCTCTGACAGGTGTGGGTACCTGCAGGTGTACACTCTGTTACTGTACTGTCAAAGCTATGATATCATTTTGATACTTTCTATGGACCAGTACTGATTGATTGATGAATAACTGATCAGGATGCATTGATCTTTTTTTGTTGTTGATGATAATCTGCTGATGACATTCCTTCAAATCATTCCAGTCACATGATGAACTCCAACAGGACCAAATCCATCATCATCCCTTTTCCCTCAGATCGATCGCTCACTGTGTACAAATCTTCTATTGATAATGTCATTCCTAAAAAAAAATAATGAATAAAATGATAAAAAAAATAAACATACTGCAGCAAAAAAAGAGCAAAGTGATGCAGCATCTTGTACTGGAAACAAAATTATTAAAGAAACTAATGAAACATCTGCTTCTCTTGTCTTTATGTGTCATTTAGAAGGAAAATGTGGTTGAAACTGAAGGTTTATCTCCCTGAAATCAAGACACATCCCTTAAAAAAGACTTAAAACTTTACTTTTTGATAAAGCCTATAAAGATGGGTCAGACTTGAGACAGCTTTAGGTAATGCTCATAGACAGTATATACTATGGACAACTTGGCTCTGCCTTCCATCATCATCATCATCATCATCATCATCATCATCATATGAATTTGAAGCCAAATTGGTTGCTCTCAGTATTTCCAGGATTTTCTCCACCAATTGGAACCACCATATTAGCAGTAATGTTGTACGTATTCCCTGGGAGAGGCACTGTGATGACAAAAAGAGCTACACAATATTCGCACGCCCATAGGCTATGTCTATGACTTTTAAAAATGAAGCTGCACATAAAAAAGAGGACTTGAGCACAAACCAATATTAACTACTTTGACTTCATGTCAACATCGCAACCAGGGAGGAGAATTATTTATATTCAGTGTAATTAATTTCCAAAGTTTGGCCACAGCTCCTTAGAGATTGCTGAAAGAGGTGGGATTTATGACCTATACTGCAGCTCATCACCAGAGGGTGCTGTTCTCGCAAAGGCTTCACCCAGCGAGGAGGCAGACGGCGTCCAATCTATATACAGTTTAAGGTTTTGCTGCTATGGGCTTAGATCATAGACTGTATATACTATGGACAACTTGGTTCCACCGTCCGCCAGTATACGGATTTGAAGCCGAAAAGCTCTCAGTAATTCTGCATTTTCTCTCCATTTCCTGTACGCACTCCACCACTTTCGCAGTAGCATTGTACACATTCAGCAGGAGTCGCAGAGAGTTGCTGTGATGACGCTTGGCTCAAAAAGCGTTTCCCCCGGGTGAGCTACTCAAACCTTGTATGCTCATAGGCTGTATCAAGTGTCAATCAAAAAAATCATGAACCCCCTAATAACTTTTAAAAACGGAGCTTCACAGAAAAAAGAGGACTTGAGCACAAACCAGTCTTACAGTAACTACATGTCAACATCACAAGCAGGAGGGAGAAAAAATCATATTCTGTTTTATTAATTTCTAAAGTTTGTCCACAGCCCCATAAGCTTTGCTGGCGGAGACGGGATTTATGACCTATACTGCAGCCTGTCACCAGAGGGTGCTGTTCTCAACAACGGCTTCACCCAGCGAGGAGGCAGACGGCGTCCATTCAGTCTTTGGTTATGCTGCTATGGGCTTAGACTGCTAAAGACTGTTTCAGACTCAGACTATTTAAGGCTCACGTTGCTCCAGACTCAGACTATTTAAGGCTCACGTTGCTCCAGACTCAGACTGCCATAGCCTTACTCTGGAGTGGAACTGGCTCATAAAGTAATTGTCTCCTATCCTCTCTATCTACCTTTTTGTCTTCAACTTTAAATCGTCATGCTCACTTAAAGACTCTTCCCGATGTTTTTTCTTTGTCCTGATCTCCTTCATTCTGTAGGTTTCTCTTGTTGCTGAACTGTTACAGTGCTTATGTTCTGTTTTAATTTGACTCTTATTCACAATCATTCCCGCCCCTACACTACAACAATATCACTACTGTTATTGTTGTTGTGTATCTGTCCATCTCCTTCTATCTGCATCTCCTTCTATTCCCTCTCTAATCCCAGCACAGTCTCAGCAGATGTTTGTGTTTTGCTCAAGGTTTCTGCCTGTTGAAGTCTTTTTTCTCTCCACTGTAACTTGTAGTTACTGCAAAATGTTTCACTCATGCATGAAGATGGATCAGAGTGGGTCCATTTTATAGGATGACAATCACAATAAAACAGGACAGTCTAGTCCTGCTCTTTCTGTAAAGCGTCTTGGGTTAACATCTGCTCTGTACAAATTAACAGAAAATGATTGATTAACCTTTCTTTGGTCAGACAGTTTTCTTAAGAAACACTCAGACACAGTTTGTTGAGTTTGGCTGAGTTTTATTCCTTGCAGCATCAGACAGAAGGTTTGTTCTACTTATCCCTCAGACTAACAAGCAAGCTTTAATTTCTCCTCTCACATGACAGATCTTGACATGGTTCCAACTACAGCCAGAAAGAAGTGAAGTGATGGGTCTGCAGCTAGGGTGTGCAGGAAGGTGATTGATTAAGGTTTGATTTGGGGTCAGACAGACGTGTGCTCAGGCAGTGATGGTCTCCTGCGTCTCAACCACCTGTATAGTGGTGGTGGTAGTAGAGGAGGAGGAGATGGAGGAGTCGATGGACAGTGAGGCAGCTGCGGTGGCAGCAGCTGCGGCGGCAGCACCAGCGTCCACAGAAACAGCCCCTCCCAAACCACCTCCAGATGAAGTGATAGTCTTGGTAGTTGTCACCACTGAGGACTTCATAGATCTGAGACGGAGAGAAAATAGTTAGAGTTAGAGTTAGAGAAACACCAGGAAATCACCTGAAGATCAATTTTCAATCAGCTGCAGCAGTTTGGATACTAAACTAGAACATCATACATAAGAAAATTAGTTTTAAAGTTTCCTAATTTTCTTGAGCTGATTTATTTGGTGTTAGAAACGTTATACTCCTTCATTCATCATAGCGGAGTATGACAGAAGAGTATCAGGACCGGGGAGGGAAGAAAAACAAGAGGGGGGAGTTTCTATTCATCATGAACACTGAGGAAAAAACTCGTTTTTATTCTAAAACCATCTTTCAGTACGATCGGCTTTGCTTCTGATTTGCATAATAGAAAAAAAAATTTCTCCCCTCATTTTTTTATTTGCTCTCACACTCTTCCGTTCCTTTTTATTTTTCATGTCTTGTTTTCAATTTTTTTCCTTTCAAATGACTCCCAGAAAGAGAAACTTTAACCGATTGTGTTTGAGAGCTATTACATCTCTAACCCAAATTTCACTGCCTGGCCTGAATCTTGTTCTCCACAACCAGAAAATTACTAGTTAAAAAAAACTCTCCTCAACTGCTTCCTATCATACTAAGAGAAAAGGTTTGTGAAAAACCTTGCAACACCATTTTAATTAGTTTTTGTTCAAGTTTGTCTTCATAAACTGCCAAAATCTGATACATGACCTCCTCCAGATACATAACAAACCTCAAATTAATCACTTAATGTTTCAAAATACACAGTATACTCAGGTTTTATATAAGGGAAAGGGAAACCATCTGAAAATGTAAGATTTACTTTAAAACACCTATATTAGCATTTCATGGGGTTCTATTTTTATCCCAATGCTGTTAATAATTTACTGTTAATCCTTCTTTCTTTAAATCAATATTTAACAGTCAGCTCTGGTGCAGATTATAAGAACAGCAACTCCTGTCTATGGTGAGGTTCAACATACAGTTTTTAAATGTTGTCTGTTGTCTGATGGAATAAGTTTGCTGTCAAAAAATCTCCTTTTTTTTAAGTGAAAAAGCCCTGTCTCTAAAAGATTTATTATATGAATTTAGAGATTTGAAGTACCTGTTAGTCATTCAAACCCCTTAATAATCCGTATCCTAATCCTTAGTAACTCTTAAACCTGAATTTTTAAAATAGTTTGCCAACTCTTCTCACCCGCCTCCCTCTCCATCCAGCAGCCTCCTGTACTCTGCAATCTCCATCTCCAGTCTGGTCTTGATGTCCAGCAGCATCTGGTATTCCCCTGCCTGCCGTTCCAGGTCAGCCTTTAGAGCCACCAGCTGGCCCTCCATACTTCCCACCTGCACACAGGTACACAGCACCTCAGTGATGGAGCTAAAAACAGCTGACAGTATCTAACATGTCACCTGCAGACTGCACAGCTTACCTGCGACTGGAATGAGCTCATCATAAGGCTGTAGCGGCTCTGGATATCAAACAGACTGGCTTCAAGAGAGGCTTTCTGCAGAGAACCAGAGACATATTAGAGGCCAGAAACCAGACCACAGACCTTCACATGTGCACAGGAATACATCATGATGTCTCAATGAGGGTCAAATTCACTATACTGAGAAGGTTCTCACATTGAAGAAACATGTCTTATGCTATAACAATTAAAGTCAAAGTAGAATCAAAACAGTGCAAAGGTGGTAAACAGGAATAGAAAGAAAAAAATTACAGTCAAGAAAAACATGAAACTAAAACATGTAGATTTGTTGACTTACGGAGCTATACATTGTGTGCACAAAATAGGCAACGTATGCAGGGTAAACAGACAATACTTCTGTGTAAAAAGTCTTTACATTGTGTCTGTAGATAGGCAAGATAGTGGAGGGAATCTGTTTTTCTCTGTTTTGTTTGGATAAAGTGTGGCATGGTTTGACAAAGTAAAAAATACACAAAAGAATGAAGAAATGGGAGACGAAATTAATGTGTGCAAAATTGAATTTATATTTTTGTCTTTAATCTTTAAACATGCATAGGACATTTTTTCACAGATTCTTATTTTCTTGACAACTTTCTTAAACAAGCCTTAGATTACGGATTTATCTCAAAGAGCTCAACATTATACAGGTTAGTCTAAAATTGAATGTTTACTTTGTAAAACTCCTGCAGTGGTGTTCCACAGGGCTCTATTCTAGACCCACTCCTGGTCATATTTTACTGCTATTCCTTCAAATCAACACTTCAGTATCTGTTCTTTTGTAGATTATAGTACTCACAGTTCTCTATTCTCTCTTAAGTCGTTTCACTTTCAAAGGTGAACTCTTGTTTATAGACACATTAAAAAAGAAGAAGAAAAAACCAAGAGCAGGGTTTAACGATATTTTACTGTGTTTCATATGGAAGATGAATTCTGGTTAAGAATATTCTTATTTCAAAGATAATAATGACCAAAATAATTAACCAAAATGAATTTATTTATTTAAAGGATAACGATGAAATAGTTAAAGGGGCCATCAAACAGAAATTATGTAGGAAAAAAAAAAGAAGAATGTCAACAGTAAAACAAAGCAAGTAGATATCTCTACATATGGTCGATCCTATCTGGATTTATAAAGGCACACTCTCTGTTGTTTTGTTTTCTCCTTTAAAAACTTTGTCTTCGGGTTTTATCAGTCTAAATAAAAGCACTCTTAAAGCTCAAGAATATGTTAAAATGGTTTTAAAAAAGGAAATTCTTAATGCTTTTAGAGTTATCATGTGGTAAGAGTTTTTCGAGAGTAAATTCATTTATTGATTTACTTATTTAATGCCTCCTTTTAACTGCCAATTATTCTCATGTTTTTTTTCTGTTCTCTCACAGTTCACTGATTTCACTGTATTGATTCTTATTTACATTTGTTTTAGCGTTAGTCACTAATCATGGTTTCTTCTATTATATCACATGTAACTGTTACTTCTTGTCTGTTTTTATGTGCAGCCCTCTGGTTTGCATCTCTATGTTTGTCTAGGAATTTATGTGTAAATAAAGCTGTGTTGAATTTTGGCCTCACCATGCTGAGCTGTGATTGGAGTTCGATCTCCATGGCCTGCAGTGCAGACTTACTCTCCTTGACTTCAGTCGTAGAGCTTACAACCACACTTGCCGTTGCCATTGCCACTTCCTGTGAGTGTGCTTCACACTGAGAGGAGAGAAGAAGAAGGTCAATTTGGTTTAAACTTACAGGTGAGGAAAGGTCAGAGGTCAGCACCTCACCTTGGCCTGGAACCATCCCTCCAGCTCTTTTGTGCTCTTGGCGGTAACAGTCTCGTAGTATTCCCTCATCTCTTCCAGCACTTTGATGATGTCACCCTGAGGGGCGGCGTCCACCTCCACGTTCACCTGGCCGCTCATCTGAGAGCGCATGGCAACCAGATCCTGCAGGGGGAGGAGTCAGGTGATCACTGAGGGGCGAAGTCTGAGCTGATGGTTATTATTATTAATAAAGGACTAACTCTGACTCATGCTACCTGACTTTGTAGCCTGTAAAACTTTCTAGTTTAAGTTTCCGATAAGTAAACACCCAAATCATGAGCTTTTTGCCAAGCTAATATTTGCTCTTCAATGCAGTTCTGTCCCAGATGTGCTTCTAAAATGTTTGCAAGCTGCCAGGCTACCATGCAAATGTGATGAAAACATGACAGATTAACCGAGCAAGGTCAAGCAATGTTAAAAAGCGAAATTTAGGACTCTAAAACTGACGACCCCAATCCCAATGAAGTTGGGATGTTGTGTAAAACGTGAATGAAAACAGAAAATAATGATTTGAAAATCCTTTTCCATCTATATTTCATTGAATATGCCACAAAGACAAGATACTCAGTGTTCAGAATGATCAATTTTGGTTTTTGCAATTTTTCACTTATTATAAATCTGATGCCCACGACACATTCCTAAAACGCTGGGACAGGGTCATGTTTTTTTTTCATTTTTGTTCGATGTGTGACTTCAGTTGCTTAACAGTATTTTGCGCTTCATAATGCACCACCTTTAATGGGAGACAGGTCTAGACTGCAGACAGGCAAGTCGAGTACCCACACTCTTTTACTCTGTAGCCATGCTGTTGTAACACGTGCTGAATGTGTCTTTCTTGAATAAACAGTAATTTCCCTAAAAAAGACGTTGCTTGGATGGCAGCATATGTTGCTCTAAAACCTGTTTGGACCTTTCAGAATTAATGGAGCCTTCACAGATGCGACAGATACCCATGACCATGAGCGCTAACACACCCCATACCATCACAGACACTGGCTTTGAACTTTAACCTGATAACAGTCTGGATGGTCCTTTTTCTGTTTAGCCTGGAGGACATCACGTCCATGATTTCCAAAAACGATCTGAAATGTGGACTTGTCAGACCACAGCACATTTTTCCACTTTGTGTCAGTCCATCTCAGATGAGCTCGATCCCAGAGAAACCATTGGTGTTTCTAGATGTTGTTGATATTTGGCTTTGGCTTTGCATGGTACAGTTTAAACATCTACTCATAGGTTTGTAGACAAACTGTGTTAACTGGTTTTTGAGGCAGTGCTGCCTCAGGCATTCAGTGTTAGTTTTTGGCCTTGCTGCTTACATACAGAGAGTTCTCTGGATTCTCTGAATCTTTTGATGATTTTATGGACTGTAGATGATGAAATGCCCAAATTCCTTCAACTGTAGGTTGAGAAATGTTCTTAAGATGTTGGACTTTTGCTCACACGGTTGTCCACAAAGTGGTAAACCTTGCCTGTAAAGGACTGAACCTTTCAGAGATGCTTCTTTTAAACCCAATCATGACACTTACCTGTCTCCGATAAACTCAATAAACTATTCACCTGTGGAATGATCCAAATGGGTTGTTTTAGACTAGTTCTCAATATTCTCTGCCTTTTGTTGTTCCTGTCTAAGCTTTTTTGGAATGTATTTCAGGAATAAAATTTAAAGTAATTAAAAACATGTGGAAGAAAAACAACAACAACAACACAAAAAACAAACAAAAAAAAAACAATAAAGTTTACTAGTTTGAAAATTAAATATCCTGTCTTTGCAGTGTACTTAATTGAACAAGATGGGGACGTGCAATTGCAATAAAAAAAACAATTAACATAAGCATCTAAAATTTCTGCATCAGTTGTTTGTTTAGTTTGTAAAGACAAGTTATTTTGAAAGCTTGGTGAAATGCTAATTATATCAGCATACTGAAGATCGTTGCACAGTCTAAGTTTTATGTATTGTACGCAGAGCCAGCCCAAGGCATAAGCGAACTAAGCGCCTGCTTAGGGCCCCATGACCAATAGGGGGCCCCCAAGAGCAATAAAAATAATAATAATATATATATATATTTTTTCTTGTATGAGTGATGCTTTCTGTGTGATCAAATATATATTATTGGAAAAATAAAATAAAATAAAATAAAAACCTTTTAGTGCTGCTGCTGATGTAGGCCTATGATTCTTACTGCTGATATGTCAAAGCTCTGCTACCGTTATGTGCCCTCTGCTGTGCAATGTGCACTGAGCATCTAAAGAGCAGGTAGTTGTGGGGCAAAAGAATGTCCCAAAAAAGGACATATCCTTTAGGAGCAGAGAAAAGAAAGAGGAAGAAAAGAAAAATTGCCAGGATAAAGGTATGTTTGCATGTCAGGGAATGTTAATTGAAGAGATTTGTGAAGGAGTGTGAATGATCAACAATCAATATTATTGGCAGAAATAGAGGGCCCTGAAATCAAATTTATTTGCATTAATAGTTATGATTACATCAAACCTGTGTTCAAATATCTTCATTCTCTTTTTAGACCACACATTCAGTTTTAAGGTGTTTTTGACTAAAGCTGACTGAAGTTCCTCTTTCCCCTCTTAAACAGTTGGTTTGTGGTGGTTTGATTCAAAACTGCAGATTAAACTGTTTGAAAATGATTTAGCGTGGGCTAATAAAGATAACCTGACAAAGAAAGGAAGGCTGTCGCTGAACAAAATGCACACAGACACGTGTTGATGTGTGTGCAGGTGTATGTACCTCCTCATGGTTCTTCTTCATGGACAACATCTCCTCTGTCGTGAGCTCGATCTGCATGGCCAGGTCTGTTTTGGCCACACCCAGTTCTCCTAGTAGCATCTTCAGTCCGGCGATGTCGGCCTCCACGGACTGACGCATGGACAGCTCGTTCTCAAACCTGCACAGGTTAGTACAGTGTCAAATTAGGGTCATGAAGACACATGGGCTCAGAGGAAAGAGGTTTTGTTGGATGGATTTGGGAACATGTAAGAAAACTGCTGCAAATGTTCAATGTTTTTTGTCATTTTAGACCTTTAGATGTGAAAAAATGGGGGGGAAATGGTGGAATAGCTTCTAAAGTTCACTTTTCTAAATCCAACTGTAACTGAGGAAAAAAAACTGCTGGTGCATTCTCTGTGTTGACCACCTGGGGGAGGTAACTCTGCTGATAACAAGCAGCTGCATTTCAGGCTGCAGACACTCTCTGCAATGACTGTGAGGGTATCTGATCATAAAGTGCTTTGTGTTTCATTTGCTGCAGAGATAAATGAGAGTACTGACTTGACTCTGAAGTCGTCCTGAGCCAGTTTGGCGTTATCGATGGCGAGAAGAACGGTTGCTTTGGTGATGATGGCCTCCTGGATCTAAACACAGAAGAAAAAAAAGGTTATTGTTACTACTATCATGATTATTATTATTATCATAAGGTCATTTTGGATTTTTTTGCTGTAACAGATCAGAAGAAAGTTTGATTCATCATCATGGGGTATAAAAATGTCAAACAGTCAAACAAACTGACTGTTTTTTTTCTGCTCTGCTCCATGTTTACTCGATCAGCTGATCACTCATCAGCTGCTTATTTCATCAGCATGAGTAAACAGCTGATACTTGCAAGCATGTATACATTCACACATGTATAAAACAACACATGAAGATATTTTCATAAACAAAGAAAAAAAAAAAAAACAGAGCAGCTGTGTAGTATTCAGAAGTACTGTGTGAAAACAGAGAGCAAAGAGAATGATCATTAGGAGCCGACTGAGCCGCTGGGTAACACAAACAGCCACCAGGATAAAATACCTGCAGAACAAACGTCCTTATGCATCAGTTTAGCTAAACAAATAACAGCTTTCTGCAGGATCACCTACTTTAGTTAGATTATACTACATCACAAACACACACAAAAACACAGTCAACATGAATATTTCTAGTTCTACTTTGCAGAGTTTGAACAGCGCTGTAACTCAGATCAGATGGTCTGACACATCTCAGCCCAACATGCAGACCCAGGTCAGGTACACCTGTATAGATGAACACCTGAATGAGCCTAAATGAGGCAAGGTTTTTGCAAAACTTTGCAGGATTTCAACAAGGTAAATATTAGTAGTTATCATTACATAAGTGAAATTTTAAGTGAGACTTAAACAGATGAAAACAAACAAATGTCACTTTTTATCTTATTCACTTTAAAACCTTAAATTAACAGATGCACTTTTTAGTTTATTTGAAATGTTTAAGATCAACCATTCGAAAGCAAAAAATAGCGGATGAGAGGAATGGATAAAATTTAAGTTTAAATGGCAGTAAAAGAAAGTTTAAAGTGGATGAAGTTGCAGGTGTGCGTTAAGCAGCAGCCTCAGGTGTGGTAGGGGTGTGTCTCTCTCTCACCTCGATCACTTACACAGGTGTGGTCCACCTGTTTTGATACACTTACATCCATCTGATCATCTCTGATGGGCTAACATTTACAGATCATCATCTGGTTTCTTGAGTCTCTAAGAGTTTATGACTTATTCTACTTTTTTAGTTTGTTGGTTTTTCTTCCTTTCTAAATGTCCATATTTTGTCTTTTGAAGACTAGTTCTGTTTTAATTTTGTGAGCAGTTAAAGTCTCATCCTTTGTTTTTGCCCTCTGGTTTTTAATCAAGTCAAAAGCTGCAAACAATTAATACAATCTATTTTTTTTTGTCTTTTTTATACGTATATATATTTTTCTACTTTAACAGTGTCCAAGACTTTGTGATGGTCAGATTTTCCGTTGAGTTTTCCTGACAGAAGCTAAACCCAGCAGCACAGATGTTTCCTGGACCACCCCAAAGACTGCAGGCTCCACCTGAACCGAGTTTCCCATGGTGCCCCTGTGCCTCACCTTGCCCTGGATCTCTGCAATGGTGACGTAGAAGGCGCTGAAGTCTCTGGTGCTGGGGCCGACCTTGCTCTCCACAAACTGCCTGATCTTCAGCTCCAGCGCAGCGTTGGCACTCTCCAGCGCCTTCACCTTGGCCAGGTAGGTGGCCAGACGGTCGTTCAGGTTCTGCATGGCGAATTTCCCAGTGACAGCCCCGCCGTCATCACCTCCACCTGCACCTCCACCGAACGCGAAACCTCCGCCTCCTCCACCACCGAAACCTAGGCCTGCTCCACCACCGAAACCAAGGCCGCCTCCTCCGCCCATGGAAAAGCTTTTGCTGGCTGATGAGACTCTGACACCACTGCCTCCTGCTCCTCCTGCCATGCTTAATGAGCTCATGCGTCCCGCTCCCCCACCAAGGCCAATGCCAAGGCCGCCGCCAAAACCACCGCCGAAAGAACCGCCAGCCATGCTGCCTCCCAGCATGGAGCTCCGTTGCATAATCATAGTCATGATGATGGAGAGAGGAGGAGGTGTCTGCCCGTCTGTCTGATCTCCGAAGGAGGAGAGAGGAGAGAGGTGGAGAGATGGAGCAGAGTGCTCCTTTTAAAGCTGTTCAGGTGGGTAGAGCTGCAAGTGAGGGGTGGGGCCACGCTCCACACCCCCTCAGGTTGATGCGACTCTAGTACTGATGTTCAGGTACACCTCACTCAGCAGCCCGTACTTCAGCAGCCGTCAGAGTGAAGAAAACCATCCTGTCAGATCTGAGAGGTCAGAAACATAAAAACAGTCTGATCAGTGATCCGAGCTCAGGACTCTGACAACAGAGAGATCAGCACGAGAGATAAACTTCAGAGAGTTTAATAAATCCACTTCAGTCATCTAAAACTCCGCTCACTTGTCAGTCTGCTAAGAAAGTTGAAATAGTTTCCCTTTAAGTAAAATAAAGTCGAAATGTCCAAAGTGAAACTCTTCAGAAGAAAGCGATGAGCTCCCCTTGCAGATCCAAAATTTAAATAGTGTCAAAGAACAAAATGTGGAAAAATCAGAAATCTACAAACTTCTAATAATTAAAAAAAAAAAAAAAAAAAAAAAGGAAAAGGAGAAAAAAACTCCCGCACCTGTCTGCAGTTCTGTCTCAGCTTACCAGAGGGCACCGGCTCTCACTGTTTACTGCTACAGGACATCTTTCCAAAACAACTGACGCAGAAATTAAGTGTTTTTTTAAGACTTGAGCTTTTCTGCTGCAGTTTACTTTATTAGAGATGTTTAGTTTGATTTCTCAAAAGTCTTTTCTGATAAAATAGTAGATGATAAGCTCTCATTAAACTCCTTTCTTCAGAGTTATTTTTAGAGGTGCGTCTATCTGACAGCTGCATTAACAGGACTACTTTTACTTTGATAGTTCAACCTAAGAAACCAAACAAATCAGAATTCAATGTGAGGCTGCTGTTTCCTGACTCAGGATGGTGAAACATGTCTGATAACAGACAAATGAACAACTGTAAATAAAAACAACAAACTTTGACATTTAAATCATCAAAACCTGCGGCAGAAAATAAAATCCCTGCAGATGATTTAAGATATTGATGCATTTTGCTTAGACTGGGTGCAAAACATCAGATCACCCACAGAAACATATTCAACATACAGTTCATTCACTGAACACTTGTGCTGTAGGTAATGCATCACTCATTGTAGAAAAGCAAGTTTAGCAAAACACACTGCAGATGATTTATAACAGACACTAGACTGTGAAATGTGCATTACAGTTAATGTTTTATATTGCACCGTAAAAAACTGCCAATGGCATTATACACAATGATAATGTATGTCACACTGTTGATGTTTACGGTCTGAGGATTCTGTGAAGCACATGATAATGTGTATAAGTGTATCTGATAATGTAAGTAAAACATGCTAATGCTTATTGCATATAGTAATATTGCAGAGCACTTGACGGATAATGTTTATTGGACGGTTGGACAGTTTGTATCTCATTATATTAAGAATCAGCTGTGAGACAATGTATTCATATTGCGAAACACATCATAGAGAATCTTAGAACGGCACAGTGGATTTTGTAATTTTTATATTTCATTTTAAATATTACACATTCCTCGATGAAAAATGTATATTCCACTATATTAGTTTATGACATGGTAGGTGATGTATGTTGCACAGTAGGCTGGTAAAACTTTACTTCAAGGGTTATACATAAGATTGACATTACTTTGTCATAACCATGACATGACACTTTTCATCAACATGAATAAGGCTAATGAAGGTTGTCATTAAGGGTCAAATTATGACACCTTTGGTGCCGTGTTGATGACAATGCCTTCCCAAACAATGTCAACATAGCATCAAAGGTGTCATATTTCAACGAATGGCACTTGATGTCAACTTTCATAAGCCTTATTCATGTTGATGGCAAGTGTCATGTCATGATTATGACAGCGTAATGTCAGTGTCTGTATACCCCTTCAAGCAAAGTGTTACCGACTGTTGTTTATTGTGTATCTGTGTCTTGCACATGGTTGGGAACATAAACTGCACCGTAAAAAACTCCAGGTTACATGGAAGAAAAAGTATACTGCACAGTAAACAATTGAGCATACGGAGTGCAAAAAAACACATAGTAGATACTCAACATTGCTCAGTAATTGTTGTATATCTTATGGTAGACAGTGTTGACTACACAGTGAATGTTGATTTTACGAGGCAGTGAAGCATACAGCAAGTTACGTTCTGTACAGTAAATAACAAATGATGCTTAACATATTTTGCACATTAACTTTAGTAGTGCATTGTAGATGTTATTTACACAGTAAAAATTTAATCTTGCATTAGATAAACAAGTATTGGTAATGCATCAGATACTTTAAGGAAATTTGCAGATCTCATGGTAGACATTGTTTACTGCACAGTGAGTATTAGTTTTACGAGGCAGGTTATGTTTTTGCAGAGTAAATACTTTTGGTAAAAAACACATTATGCACGGTAGCTTTTGCAGTGCATTGCAGATAATGTTTGTGACTGTTAAAACTTTATAGTGCATGTTAAATAAGAATAATGCACATTAAATCCACACATTGCAGAGTATTTTAGATTATTTTGACATCTTTTTGACATCTTTAGTCTTTCTCTGCGTTATATAACTGTGACTACTCTGCAGAGTGTCTCCAACAGTCTCATGAATGTCCTGTAGGAAATGTGTGGGTAGTAAATGTACTTTCGACCTGTGCTTGTTCCTGTACCTGAGTACTGGTTGTCCCCTCTGGTCGTGTGATGTAACACCTGATCCCTGCAGTTTTGTCTCTGTCAGCACAAAGAGCTCACAGAGCAGCAGGGACTAAAACACCTCCTGGCAGTGAGCGCTCACCTGTCGGACTGACAGCGTCCTTCTTCAGGTGTACTGTGTGTGGGAAAACGCCCCCAGCTGAGGGAGGAAGGGGGGAGCGACACTTTGTTGTGTAGTCATGGCGACTGTAGGAGCAGTGGTATGTATGTGATGTGCATGTGTTTGGCATGAACTCTCTGCTCTCCCCTCTTGGTTTCACTGCTTTCTTCACACATTTTTTCGTGACATGTGTGAGCCACAGACAGGCAGAAAAAACTGATGCTGCTCATCAGCTCCATCCACTCCTGTATGGAGTATATTAAATATGAAGGCAGTTCTGCAGAGTAGAGTCCAGTCTACATCACTGTAGCCCAGCTTTGCTCTAATTTACACAGATTTTAGATTCCTCCTAAAAACATAAACTCTGTATGCAGAGTTTGAGTTTTTTTCTCATTAGTGTTTTGATGTTTGCAGTCTAAATACTGACCAATCAGGTGTCAGCAGGCTTTGGTATCTGCAGGTAAAACAGTCTGTATGGAGAGCAAAATCAGGAGGAACACAGCCCACCATGGACGCAACCCAGCTCCCATGGTTGGAAATCTGGGGAGGATTTATTTCTCTCGGTATACAGATATCTGCACAAGGGTCAACTAACAATCTGTAACATTTACACTGAGACACTAATCTGCTTGATGCTGAGTCACTAAAAAGACTTAGTGGAGACATACACAGTGAAACCCAGACTCCAAGGAGACAGAGGAACAGGCTCTGGTAGTTGATGTAAACAAAGTTCATGTGAAACAATTAAGAAAGGAGGGACATTATAAGAAGTGAAAAAGTTTATTTTTTTGTTGAATCAGAAATGTGTGATTGAAGTGTGTTTTACAAACACTGCATCTTTACTCTTTTTCTGGAACGTCATAAACAACACTGATATGTTAACTTGTATGTGCGGTCTGTATTTCACTCTTTGCACACCTGAATTTGGAGAACGATGAGACTCTTGAAGCCCCCTGTGTTCAGAGCGAACATGCAAAGCTGGCAGCAGTTTGATGTGTGGAATGAAACGGTCTGATTGATGGGCAGAGATCTGTTGTCACATGTACCCGCTTCATGCCTGCAGCCAGAAAAGCTCTTATTCCTGAGTGGGGGGAGATATGTGGGCACATGTGTCTCTGCATGCATGTCTGCAGGTATTTAATTTCATAAAGAGCTCATGTATGACCTTTACAGCTGCAGGTGGAGGCTAGCAGACAGACATGCTCTGAACTCTGCGCCGTCAGCTCTGGTTTAATCTGGTTTTTCTCTAAGAGTGGGAAAGAAAAGATGTTAGTTTCAATGTAGTACTTTTTTGACATTATTTTTCTTTCCAAACCCTCCAAAATACACAATACAAAAGCCTGTGGACTAAGTATTAATATTAGTGTTTTACTGAATACAACTAAAGCTTGATACAACGTGTGTCATCCAGCAGGGACGGCAAACAGAAAGCAGAAAATCTCACCCCTCTTATTCAGATTCTGCATTTCAGAGAGTTTTCAAAGGGAAACCACATCTCCTGAGTTTGAATACAAGTGTGTAGATCTTTATATAAAAGTTGACTTGATCTTGTCTTTTTTTTTTTTTTGTATTTTTTGCATCAAGAAAACTTTTCTAAAAAAGCCACCCTGCATGACAGAGTATGAAGGTGGAAAGATAAAGCAATTTCAGGAATAAAATCATAATGTTACTAAAATAGCTGCAAAAAAAATATATGAAGTATAGATATCTGAATATACTAGGGTCAAACACACCGTAACACCGAGTTAGACACCCCCTCGAGAGATGAATGTTGCGGACCGCTTGCTTCTCTAGTTATACCAGCTTGAGTGACGACTGCACAATAGCAGTAAAACAGCGGTCTGAGGAGCCATAAACAAACCTCAACCAAAACGCCACTGTATAGCCACAAATAATGCTCAGAACAGCACATAACTTCAGCAACAGTACATGTAGGGTCCCAGCCGCAGCACTAGCCACCAAACATCTTTTTAACTTTGCCTAATTTCTTTAGCAAAGAGACTAAACACAACTCACCTACTCTCTTCCAGCAGCCGCTTATTTGTAGCGAGACCTCTGGGTGAGTCCATCATGACTGCAGCGAGGTGACGCCCCTCAAGGAACAACAGTT